CCCTCACTTCTCAACCTCAACCGACATCTTCTCCCCCTCCTCTACTTTCCCCTCCCCTTCCTCTACTTTCCCACCATCCCCCCCCTCATCCTCCCTTTTCCTCTTCCCCCCTTCCTCCCTCCCAGCTAACACCCCATCAATCAACCCCCTCACCGCCCTCAACGCCTGCACATCCATCTTCGCCAACACCCTCCCCGTAACATCCGTCGTATCCCCCCTCGCGACCAGATCAATAACCGCCGGCGCCGCTTCGGCCAGCAGCGCCGTGATGAGCTGGTTCGTGCTATCGGAAGGTGGGTGGCCTGATTGCGTGGCTAGTTGGGCAAGGTTGAGCGCTGCTTGTTGGTCGGCTATGTTGCGGGGTGTCAGGGGTGGTGGTGCGGTGGTGGTGGTGGGTGGGGGGGGTGGAACGGCGTAGGGGTCTGTGAGTGCGGTTTCGGTGCGGCGTTTTGTGTGGACGCTTGGGTGTGTTAGTTTGTAGTTCTTAGGGGGAAAAAACAGCAGCGGAAAAGGAAAGGAAATAAAAGACATACCGAGAGATGAAATCGAGAATAATCCCCTTCTCCGGCAACATATACACCCTCCCATACTCCTTATCCTCAAAAAACTCCCTCTCCTCATCATCACTCTCCGCCACCTCAACCTCGACATGTCCATCATTCCTAATCCCCCTCTTCAGCGCGGGTTTGATCGCCGATCTGCCCTTCACGCGACGGAAGCGGTGAGCGGGGCCAAGAGCACCAGGCACGATATCGAGGAGGTCGTCGATGTGGCAAGGGCACTTCCAGGGACGGGTTGAGGTGATGGTGGGCGGGTTGGCGAGGGGGGGGTCAAGGCAGTCGAGGTGCCAGTGCAGACCGCAGAAGCTGCAGGGGATGATGGGGAGGGTGCCGCCGGAGCCGCGGGAGCAGGAGTTGCAGATTACGGGGTTACCCTTTGCGTCTTTGAGGCGGAGGAAGTCGATGGCTTCTTCTTGCTTTCTGTGGGGGGGGTCAGTTTAGTTCGGGTCAGATCGGAGGGGAAGGGAGGAAGGGGGGTAAGACTCACTTCTTAGGAGGATTACCCTCTTCATACTCGCCCTCTGGTCCGGTGCGGACACCTTCGAACCAGTCTCTGATTGAGAAGGGGAGGTGGAAGGCGGAGGGGTTGCGCTTCTCGACAAGCATGGTGAGTTCACCGAATAAGCCGCGGCGACGGTGGGTGGCGCCTGGGCCGGTGCGGAGGGAACCGCAGGTGACGCAGTACCAGTCTGGTGGTAACTGGCTTACACTCTCCATCGGAGGGTCGACGCAGATTAGATGGAATGCTCTGGTGCAGCCATCGCAGCAGACGAGGTCGCCGTTGCCTCCGCATGCTGAGCAGTATTCATCGTTTTCATCCTGGTTGATGTTAGCTTGGGATTCTTTTATCTATATTGGTGGCCTTTGGTGTGGGAAGATAAGGGCTTGGAGTATGTGCAGGTGTGCAGCAAGGTGAAACCAAGCCTGCAGGAAGACACTGGCATCACACGGAGCGAGTGACATGATCGACACAGCAAGGGAGGGTATCATAGCTCTTAAACTTACAAAGTTGACTCCTGGTCCGCCTGATACAGGACTGTCTCTTTGCCCACTGGCTCTTGGGATACCAGCGGAAGTTCCTTGGGGGTTCTTTTTTGGTCTAGGTTTGGTTAGTTTCTGCTTCTTCTTGGCCGGCATTGTGAATGTTGAAAGCTTGCAGCAAAAGGAGAACAAGTTGTAAGCCTGTATAGAAGAAAGAGAGATGCAATCAATGTATGTGTAGTATTCTGTGCAATGCAATGATGGAATAATTCTCCTTTGTGCGTAGCCTTTGATCACCAGAAAGAGAGAGAAGGGAGTAAGGGGAATTAAGAAACGCGTGGGCGAAGCATTTCAAAAGGTAAACGACCTATGCAGTTCCGCGAAGGACCGCCGAGTCTTGACCGGCCAATGAGCGGCAATGTCGCCCATGACCGGCGGGTACTGCTGTTGGGGCGACGACGACATTGGGAAGCCGCCTAGCGGAACAGCAGTACCCAAGCAAACTCCGCCCAACAGGTAAGAAAACCCGGCTAAAATAAGGGAAAAAACCCTCCCACAGCTCCCAATATACCAAATGCATAGCAACATAGCGTAAAGGGGATGATAATGCGATGGAGGAATGGAAGGTTGATGAGACAAGTAAACCTGGTGACTTACGATGACTTCATCCGTGCTCCTGAACTCTTTGCTTTCCGCGTAGGTCTTGCACCCGCAATAGGCGTATTCGCCCTTGAATTCCTCGTAGATCCTGGCGCCAGGTCAGGTTGAAACGACAGTCTCGTCGGCGAGCTGTGGTTATCGGACTCATCGTCGCGATTCCGCCGCCTAAAACGTAACACCTGCCGCGTGGTAGGCTGCGACACCCCCGCCGCGCCCCCATCACCAGCCTCGCTGCCTGACCCCAAATCAGGCCCCTGCACCGGCGTCCGCACGAAGCTCTGGCGCGTGGAAATGGCGCCGTCAGTCCTGCCCTTGGCTTCCTTTTTGCGACGAATAATTTCCTCGTCACGAGGTGTCGTGACGCGGCGGAGCGCAGCAGCGGCGCCCTTCTTGTGAGAGCGCACGAGATTTTGCGGTGGTAGCGAGAGAGATTGGGGTAGAGCGTAGTTCTCGTCGAGGTACGGGCGCATCACGTTGTCGCCAGTGCCGTTGCGAGTGTTGGCGTTGGTCAATAAATTAGGGAAGAGAGCAGGAGGTGATGATGGTGTTGATGCAGCAGGAGGTTTAGTGTTGACAGCAGTGAAGGTGTGCGGGTTTGGCCTTGGGGCGTGCGCTGAATGTCGTGTAATTGGTTGCTTGGCCTTTTGATTGCGCGCCGTCTTTTCGGCAGAACGACCGGGTTCCTCCCGCGCCCTCAGCGTTTTGGTGCCGTGGCTCGTCTCACTAATTTCCTCGCCTTGGGCCGCCTCATCCGAAATATCGGCCATTTCACTTTCGAGCACGGCTTCATCAAGTGATGATAGCGATGAGCTGCTCGACACTGACCTGCTCCGTGTCGCAACAGAAACTGTAGTGGCACCATTTTGGGCTTGCCTTGTCGGCTTGCCCTTGGATGTTCCATTCGTTTCGGCCGGCTTGCCACTGGCACTGCTGATGCCGCTCAAATTAAGATGAATGTGAGGCATGGTGTGGCTGGCGGTCTGCTGGGCGTGGGCGACTTTTGCCTTTTTACTTACGTGAGACGTATCTTTGTGGGGGGACGCTGATGCACGATTTGCCACTTCTGTAGAAGCCCTCTTTGAGGCACCACTGAAACTCCAGGACTTCTGGAACAGGTTCACTGGCGAATAAAGATTGTCGTGCTCGTCAAAGTAGCGCTGGGCCTTGTTGTCCTTCGCGCCTTCTTTCTTCTTGTAGGTCATCAGACACTGGAACTCGGTCTTCTCCTCCTCTGTAGCCTGGTCGGTGAAGATAAGCATAAACAGTCGGCGGATGCGCGGGTTGATCCTGTGATCATTGTACATAGTCCGTAATGCGTATGCTGTAGGCCACCTGTAGTCCAATATGGCATCCTCGACCGCAAACTGCACAGCCCTGTCTGTAATGAACATATCCCTCTCTTCCTTGCTGCGATGCGGCGACTGCGACATCGCCGCTCCTGCCTCAGCACTCTGCTTGGTCTTTGTCGCGCTCTTCCTAGCCTGCGCGCTGGGCGTACGCGGGTTCCATTCCTCATCGTCCGCCTTCCCGGACTGCGATCGCTTCCTGATGATATTGATCTGGGGCTCTGGCGTCACCAGCTCGCGCGACGTAGACGCCTCCACCTCCGACTCATCCGCCTTGACACCCCTCCGCGGCGTGTCCTTGCCTATCTTCTTCGCCTTCGCCGTAGGCATCGTGCCCAGGGGCGCCATGTTCTCCAGCACGCCGTAGCGCTCGATGCTCAGGTGCGGGTGATCCGTGAAGCTGGGCGCGGGCGGTGGCAGCGATGGCTCGACCCAGTTATCGAGGAACGTTTTCCCCGCGCGCGATTTCTCTGTTGAGGTTGCCCGCGTGGTGCGGTCGCCGTCGGGTCCGTTGGTCGCGGCCGTTCGCGTGTGTCGGGGATTCGTACTCATCGTCGCATCGCTTGTCGCCCCTGGCTTGGCTCGCCGCCGTGTTTTCGCAACGTCTGCACGGGTGTTAGTCGAGGGCAGCATGGCTGGGTGGATGGGTTAATACTTAGAACTATTCACAGCCAGTCCAGTAATCGTACAGATGCGTGGTCGGGGAGGTAGAACGCGTTGGGGTTGGCGGCGTGGAAGAAGGGGGTGCGACACCAGGAGCTCCAACGCTGAGAAGGCTTTAGCGAGGAAGACTGTACCAACACCTGCAGCAGGGTGAAAACTGCCAACCCCCCAGCAAACTCTTTGTTCGAGATATTCACCACGGTGGACCCTTTTAAAATATCCAATAGAAGGGGAGGGGAATAGTATGTGAAATAGTCTTTTCAGAGTATATTAATCTACCACCCAACTCCTGAAGATATGGCTTGCGGGGAGATGAAAATACTGTACGTCACGACTCCCTAGTCACCATTTTTGTTTTTCATCTATTTGATTCACTCAAAGCTTTCATTGCCCTTCCCCGAACCTGCAGGTTCAGCATTCCCGGTCTATATAGCCACAGCAGAATATATATATCGTTATGTACAGAGAAGGCCTTCAGTTACTCTACTCACGTGTTATTCTCTCTTAATATTCACTCGTGAGTGCGTAATCCCCCGAAAAGGGGCCGCTCCCAGGAATGCCCGCCGAGGAAGGCCTAGAACCGGCCAAGATCATACGCGCACTCCCGAGCCCCTCAAAGTCACAACCTCGTATCACTGCTTTCGCTGCTCCTCTTGACAAGATCTCGCAAATAGACCTGGCGTCTCACACATTTGAAGCTGAAATATAGGGCAAGTTGCGTTGGTTTTCCCAACTAGATATCATATTTTTACTAACCCATCCCCCCACTCCTCACCACAACCCCAACCCATCACTTACTCCCCACAACCTCCTTCTCCACGGCCTTCACCCCCTCTCTAACCCCCGGACAAAAGTGCTTCCTCAACAACTCCCCCTCCCACACCGTAGCCGCAAACGGATTACTCCCCTCCACCTCCCCGGCAAGCGCCTCAAACACTCCATCCCCCCTCCTCTCCTCCGTATTCCACAGCGACCTCACCTTCGTCGCGTGCGTCTTGCTCACCTTCCCCAGCAACCCCATCATCGCCACCGCCGATTTCTCCGGCAAGTGCAGCGTGCTCGTGAACAGCGTCTTCGTGTACGCCGCCACGCGAAGGGGCGGCACCGCGCGCGCGCCCAGCTTGGGTACGAGCACCGACGACAGGGACTTCAGCAGCAGCACGGTGGTGGTGTGCACGTTGACTTTGTTGTCTTTGGTGCTCTGCTGTGGGGCGTTGGGGTCGGGAAGGCGCAGCGACTTGGAGCTGAGCTCGATGTCGGGGTTCAGGGAGAGGGCGTGCAGGGTGCGGTAGAGGTGGGTGATGAAGAAGGAGAGGTCGAGGGAGAGGGTTGTCTTTGCCTTGGCGGCGTCTTGGCCCTCGAGGAGGGCGAAGGCGGTGATGATGCAGAGGAGGGCTTCGCGGGTGAGGTTGCGGGTTGTCTCCTCGTCGTACTCGTCAGCTGGGGTGTCATCATCGTTTGTCATGTCGAGGTCATCGCCTGTCTCAGCGTGGCCGACGAGGTCCTTGAGTGCCTCCAGGAGGTCGCCGAAGAAGTCCTGGTTAATGAGATGGGCGTAGCTGGCCAGCCCCTCGAGCACGGCGCCCATGAGGTTCGGGGAGCGGATCTTCAGGATGCGGAAGTAGGTCACGAAGACGAGCTTGAGGGTCTCGGCTTGCATCCTGTCGCGCTCCTCGTGCGAGACGGTGGCGTCTGCCTGGACCATTTCCTTCTCGATGACCTTCTGCTCCTTCATGATCTTGCGCTGTTTCTTGGTGCGGAAGACACGCTTGGCCTTGAGATGATTGGCGGCATCGAAACCGCCCTCGGCCTTGGATGGCCGGTCGATGTGGTTCGTGCTCGCTTTCCACGAGAACTCGGTGAGGAGGCGGAGGTGGAGGAAGGTGTTGAGGACGGATTCGTCGACACGGTATCCACGCGCCTTCATCATCTTTGTGAGAAGGGCTGTGGCATCTAGAGAAGGAGTTCCATCTTCGTCGTCGCGGAAGAGAGTCTCAATCGTCTCGCGACACTTGACAAAGTCCGCATCAATCTTTCGTGTGCTCAGCTTCCCAACCAAGATTTTCAACAGCTCGCCTCTGAAATTGAAATGCGGCACCGATGTAAGTAACGTACACGCGCAGGCAATAGCAACACTTCCCAAGCTCGGCCCGCCATCTCTAGACCATCCTCCCTTTCCAGACTGTGCGAGCTTGGCCAGCTCTTTAATGTATGCCTGATACCCTCCCACAAGCGCCTGCTCGTAGGCTCGTAGTTTCCGCACCTCCTTCGACACCTTCGTCTCCATATCATCCTCATTGAGCGGTCGTATCCTGTACCCAGGGATAATATCCTTATAAATAGCCAACTGCGTCGCAAGCGCCAGCTTTTTTATGGTTGTAGTCTTAGACTGCCCGATCGCAGCCAAGGTCTTGAAAGCCGCAGCATTCTCCTCCGGATCCTCATTCAGCAGCAGCGCAATCTTCGCAAGCTCCTCCTTCGCCTCCATGATCTGTTGTCGCATTGGCTTCTCTGGCTTCTTCTCCTTCTCCGGCTTCTCCTCTGGCTCCGACTCGCCCTCGCTCAACCAAGCAAGGTCGCTATCCTCATCTTCCTCCGCAACCTCAAGCTCCTGAACCATGCCATCAGCGGTTTTAATAGGTAACCTCGTATTCTCCTTATCCTTCTTCCCCCCCTTCCTCGGCCTCGTCTCATAATCCTGCTCCAAATCCCAGCTCGAGGCCTGGTCGTAGAAAGCCTTCGTCGACTTCTTCTTCAACTCCGCTCTCTCGGCCCTACTTTCGCTCTCGCCAGGCTGCGGCGACAGCTTGCGCCTCTTAACGGCCGGTGCTCGCGACATCTCTATTTCTCAGGTATCGAGAAATAATTGCTGGTTATGGGCGTCGAGATATTTCGAGATTTCGAAATTTCGAAATTTCTCTAGGGCGGTGTTTTGCGGTCGCCAGTTCCGCCCGGAAAATAATGCGGCCCTCGCAGAAAACTTTCCCCGCATAAAAAAAGTTCGCGAGAGATCCCCCCAGCGATAAACTCTAATCTGCAAAACCCGAGCTCCAAAACTTCACACCACCCTCCCCAACACCACAGAGAAAATTAATACGCATACTTTGCGCACTCAATCGACGTCCATATACACACCACCTCCCAGCCGCGCACCCCACACGCCGCAAAAAGATGCGCGCCCTCACAGAAGAAGAGACCAAGGTCCTCTTCGCCAAGCTGGCAAACTACACCGGCACCTCGCTCAAGAACCTCATCGCACCCCTCGACAACTCCCCCAACGGCGACCGCTACGTCTTCCGCCTCCACCAGTCGCGGTGTTACTACGTCCTCCTCTCCATCGCCAACCTGGCCACCTCCATCGCGCGCGACCAGCTCTTGTCGCTGGGCACCTGTCTCGGTATGCATCACCCCAGCCCACCTCTCCCCAAAAAGAAAGATTCGCAGAAAGCAAAGAAACCTCCCAGCTACCAGCTAACCCCCCCCCAGGCAAATTCACCAAAACCCTCAAATTCCGCCTCCACATCACCGCCCTCCCCATCCTCGCCGCCCACGCCCGCCACAAGCTCTGGATCAAGCCCAACGGCGAGATGCCCTTCCTCTACGGCGGCCACATCCTCAAAGCGCACGTAGGTCGGTGGTCCGAGGACTGCCCAGAGCACCAGGGTATCGTGGTGTACAGCATGAACGATACGCCGCTGGGCTTTGGGGTGACGGCGAGGAGTACGCAGGAGGCGAGACGGTTGGATCCGACGGGGATTGCGGCGTTTAGGCAGGCGGATTGTGGGGAGTTTTTGAGGGATGAGGATACGTTGTTTTCGACGCAGTAGAGGGGGGGAGATAGGGGAAAGGAAAAGCGAAAGGGAAAAGGGGGAGGGGAAGTGGGGAGGGAATGGGGGAAAAGTGAGGATGGGAGCTTTGGCGTTGAATATATTTAGATATATGGGCGTTGGGTGGGTGGGGTGTATTGTATGGGTTGTGTAGGCACAATGAAATACCACATCTGGAATACTTTCTGCTTCGGATATGCTGTGATTTACTTGTACTTATTGGACCTTGTGTGAACTTGTTACTGGCATAGGAATCACATATACTGAGACAAACGTGGAATACAGTGTACAACGTCTTCATTCAGAGTATCACTCCCCACTCTCTCCAGCCGCTTCTCTATCTTCGAGCACACCTGATCTACCATCCCATCCTCCATAAAAATATACACCAAGTCCCCTCCACCAACCAATAACCAATAATTTTCCCCTTTTGTACACCCCACCAATCCCTAACCCATATATCACACAAAATACACCACCCCAATCCATCATCCTCTCCTCCTCAGAAGCCACACGCCGGTGGTCTCCCATAATTTTGTAAAGACAGACAGACATACCAGTCCGAAGTCCGGTCAATTCCCGGACCTATCCCAAGATTCCCCAAAAACGCCCCTTAAAAAACAGAAACTGAAAATGCTAGCAAAGAAAAATCGCTAGCTAAAACACACAAAAAAACGCCGATGACCCAAGAGTGGTGATGGGGAGCAAAGTCAAAGCTAACTCGCTCAACGCTATAAGAAAGTCCTCACAATCTCAAAACACAACCCATCCGCCGGTCAACACCTCATACCCCATAAGCCGGCGGAGGCGTCTCGTCGCGCCTCTCGCTACCCCACTCACTCCCATCAGCCTGCTTGCGCAGGTGCGCGCGCCGCGCCAGCTCAGCTGCCATACTCATCATCCACGCCTGCTCGATGATGCCGCCTTGTGCGGCGCCCTCATATGGGTAAGGGGAGTAGTTGTTGAGGCTGCCCATCTGCGAGCCGCGGCGCATATAGTCGCTAGGCGACTTCTCGCGCGGGAAGGCGCGCTGGAGAGCTGTGCGTTGTTGCGGGAAGAGGGGGGATGCGGGCTCGATGGAGGGGAGGGGGGTGTCCATCGCGTTGGTGAGGGCGGTTTGGGTGGTGCTGGTTGGGACGGGTGCGGCGACGCGGGTTGGGACTTGGCGCGGGGTCTCGCCGAGGTCGATGCTGTCCAGGCGGGGGCGGAAGCGGACTTGTGGGGAGTGCGGGGGGGTGATGGGTTCCTCGTCTGGTGTCTCGGGGATGCGCGTGGACATGATGGGCTCGGAGCCGCCCATGACAGAGGAGTCGGTGTCGGTGGTGGTTTCGGAGTCGCCGCCTTCGCTGAGGGTGTCGCTCAAGACCTTCTTGCGTAGGTTGACGACGCGGTGGCGCTTCTTGCGGCCATGGGTGCGGTGGCGGCCGGCGCCGAGACTGAGGCCAGTTGTTGCGGAGGGGAGGTGGCTGAGAGAGGGGCGCGAAGGGGGGAGGCTGCCTTCGTTGTCGTGGTCGGAGAAGGTGTAGGTTGTGGCACCGTTGGAGACGGCTGAGTGGGTCCGTGTCAGGGTGGGGGGAGTGATTGCGAAGCCATCGCCGCGGTCGCCTGGGCCGGCCCATGCTCGGAAGACTGCGTCGCGGATGGCGGGTGTGAAGAGGGAGAAGGTGCGTTGCGAGTCGCTCAGCACGCCCAGTCGAAGGAGGTTCTTTTGCGAGAATAGCGAGTGGCTTTCGACGCCGTCCTCGAGGGATAGCGATGATATCTCACGAGAGTCGAACACATTTCCGTGCGAGTCGACGGCATCTTGTGGTGGGCTTGCGAGAGGGTCGGTCGCAACCTCGCCCTCCTTCAGCTTCTCCTCCGCGAGACGTTCTTCCTCTTCCTTCGCAGCATATTCCGGGCACCACAGTCGTAGCGACAATCGGTGGATGATGGCGGGTAGTTCCTCCATCATTAACGTCCGCAGCTGTATTTCGATCTCTTTCTGGAGATACTCGCACACGAACGGTATGGAATCGAATGTCGATGAAACCTTGATGGATTCTAACGGGTCATTGCGGAACACCAACGTCAGTCCTTTTTGGCGGGAGAAGACGAGGATGATGAAGGCCGATAGTTTGATATCCGATAAGGTGATTTTCAAGGGGATCGTTAATCCGGACGATGCAGCTAGAGGTTGCGGCGAAGTAAACGATGGTTTTGAAAATAGGTACGTATTCATCGGGTTTGCCTGTTTGTTGATATATTAGCCTCACGTTATAGTTTGCTGCGCGGGGTGCATGAAACAATGAAATGAGCGCGCATCCTCGGGATCCACATCAAGAGTCATCGCGAAGTAAAATCGCGAAATGCGCATGAATGTAATATCCCGAGAAAAAGCGAGCAGGAAAGCAGGAAGCAAGCAGAAGGCAGCGTACCTGGACCCGTGTTTTGAGGGTCAAGAAGGCGTCGCCGGAGTAGCACATCTTGAAGATACCGCGAAACCGGTCCTCGGCAAGATCCCCTATCTCCAGTATCTCCAGATCCGGCGGGACGGAGCCCAGATTCAGCTCGCTGACGAGGATGTCATCGACGATGATGGGAGGCTTCGGGTTCTTATTGAGCGCGGTGGTGAGCATCTCCTGCGCGCGCAGGTAGAACTCGGCGTCTGCCGTCAGCGGCGACCAGTTGAAGTTGAAGGCCATGGTGAGGTGCAGACATTAGACGATGGATGAGCACCGTCGTAGTGGCGATGAGGCGATTTCTGTTTGTTTGTTTCGTATATGCGACAGAAGAGGATGAAGAGCTTTATCGCAAAAGACTTCTTCGATATCGGGACCTTTCGTCTTTGATTCCTCGGGCTTGGGTTGTTGGTTGGACAAGGGTCGCGTGATTGTGATTGTGAACGTGATTGATGCGCGGTCGGAATTAAATTTAATCTCCTTGACGAAAACACACCCGGGTAAGTACAGTAAGAGTACAGCGACAATTCGAAGCGACAGTTGAGGTCGTAAAGTACAACAAGAGGAAGAAGAGTGATTATAAAGATGAAGATGAAGGATGAGGAAAGGTGGAGATAGGGAGAAATGGAGATAGGAGGAAGGAGGGAGATTGTGTATGTGGGAAAGGGAATAGTGCAGCGATCTCCAGGTTTCGGCTGTTCCGTGCACAGCTGTGCGGGCAGACAGGGAAGAAGGAAGAAATTCGGGTATAAGAAATACGGCAAATGGGGCAAAAAACAGCAGCAAAAAAAAATAGCTTGGAGCTCCCATCGTCATTGGCCGCATTAGGTAAGCCACACATGTCAACAAACAACAAACAAACAACCAAAAACATCTGATGGTCGAGAATCGGGAATGGTCGCCACTGGTGTCACTGCATTTGACTAAGAGGAAATGTCAGGCGTTTAAATGCTTGACCTGCATAAATAACGACAAAAAGGAATTAAAAATAAAATAAAATACCTACAGACCTCTATTGTCAATATTTAATATTTACACACTTACATATATTTTATATACACCCACAGTAAATATTATTTCTATTATTTCCTATTTATTTGACGTTCCAAGACCTAGAATAACGGCAGGACCGTCATAGCCGCTGGTTTGTTAGTGCCACTATATATACCTTTTTCACATTGGTCTGGACCGATTTTTATATGCATATGCCCTGCGGCTTCCGTGTCAGCGGCTCCTTCCCCCAGACATAACACCTTTCTTCCATTCTATATTCCTATCCAAGTACAACATATACTGTGCAATCATCGACTGAACGCACTTATCTACTACCCTTTCAAAATATATATCTTCTATATACCTACCCTATATATGGATTTGTCACCGTTGCACCTTCTCTCGATCCCGCCACCACACTCCTCCACCTCGCCCATGCCCGCGAGGAAGGAGCACCCCATATACGCATATAACAATCCCTAATCGCCGCAGCAGCCCATCCCATCCACCTGCATACACCTCTGCTACCTAGAAATCTCTAATCTCTAATATCACATACCCCAGAATGATGGACTTCCCACCAGACACGATCCTGGAGCTACCCAGCAACATCTCGGCCACCTACCTGAGCGAGGGCGCTGCAAACGTGGTTTACTCTATAAACGTCCCTCCGCAGAGTAACACGCCCCAACATGGCGATATACAGGAGAAAGGAGAGGACACAGCAACTAATCCCTGGCACGGTATGTTCTTTCTCAGATTCAGTCGAACTATCACGTGATTCCCCTTTTTGAGCATCCCACGCCCTTGTCCTGGAGCTTTCCTACACCCCTGGGCAGAGCTCACACAATGAAGCCATTACCCCCCATCTCTCACCACTACCCCCCTCACCTCCCCCAAATTTCCCCTCCCCCCACAAATCAAACAACAACCTAACACCACCCCCCACCAGGCAAACTCCTCCGCTTCCGCAAAGACCTCCCCACCACCACGCCCACACTCGACGCCCACATCGCCTTCCGCACCTCCATCGCGCCGCTCTTCCCCGCTGAAGACCTAATCGACATCCGTCTCGTCTCCCTCGGTTCATCGCACCTAATCCAGACTCTCAACGCTGCTCTGCGAGCCGCCGAGGAGGCATCCGCAGATTCGCCGCGGCCGAGGCAGAGGCATGGGGTTTATTTGGCGGATGATCCGCATGCGCTTCTTATTACGGATATGTCGCCTCGTATGTCTGCTTTTCCTTCTCCCTTTCTCCACTTCCCCCTTCTCCAGTTCCCCCTTCTCCCTTCTCCCTTGCCCCTTCCTCCTTCTCCCCCTCCCACCCTCTCCCCTTTCTCCTCCCTCTCCCCTTTCTCCTCCCTCTCCCCTTTCTCCTCCCTCTCCCCTTTCTCCTCCCTCTCCCCTTTCTCCTCCCTCTCCCCTTTCTCCTCCCTCTTCCCCCCTCCCAGTCTAATATACACAGCGAAAGACAAAACTAACAACCCCCCCCAGCAACATCATCAACCCTAATCCAATTCAAACCCAAATGGCTCGCCCCCTCCCCCTCCGCCCCCCCCGGCTCAAAACGCTGCCGCACCTGCGCCCTCCACGCCAAGCGAGGCATCTCAAAACCCTCTTTCTGTCCACTGGACCTGATTTCCTCCTCTCCTGCTGATGTGCGACGCGCTGCGGGGTTGTTGCTTGGGTTACCTGCTTCTGCTCCTACTGACAGCACCAGTCTCTCTATTACCCAAAATGGCAGTAGCGTTGTCGAGGACGGGAGTACTAAACCTGCTGCCCAAAACGTTGTACCCAATGCCAACCACAACGACACACCGCCCACCGCCGCGACCTCGGAACAATTACACACCCTCAGCCGCCTAACCTCCTGGGCCCTAACATCCCCCCTCCTCCGCCACCTCCGCCACATCCAAACAACCTGCGACCCATACGGCGTCTCACACCTCCTCTCCTCCCCCTCCTCCCCCTCCTCATCCACCTCTCTCAAAGGCCTACAAATCGCCATGACACTCCGCGACGTCACAGTCTTTCTTGTTGTACCTGATGGGGAAGGGGTGCTGAGGGCCAGGTTGGGGGATTTGGATGTTAAGAGTCTTGGGAAGGTGGGGGAGTGGGGGAGGGTGGAGGGGGTGTTGGGGGGGGGTTGGTATCAGGGGACGAAAGGAGCGGAGGGTGGTGGGCGGGAGGGGTGTTGGTTGGGTAGACAAGGGGGGGAGGAGGAGGGGGAGGGGGAGAAGGAGGGGAATGGGGTGAGGGAGAAAGAGGGGATGGGATTGAAGGGGGGGAAGGAGGTGAAGGAGAGGAAGGAGAGGGGGGGGTGTATTGGTCAATGAGTGGATATGCATACATTGGCTGGTAAAAACGTTCGGTGATAAGGAAGGAAATAGGGAAATAGGGAATTAGTAATTATAATTTGATAATTCGATAATCTGCATTCACTCACACACACAAAGTTAGACTTGATAATATGGTTGGTGTCAATAATTCTGCGATTTCACGTTTTTGGTTTGATTTTTGTGGAAAATATCGTTTGAATTTAAAACAAGCAAATATTTCCTAGTTAAGCCACGCTCATATGTATACACACCCCTTCCCCTTCAAATCAAAGCAAAGCGCGCCCGCCCATCCCATAAACTCCAACGCTCGCCCACCCACGAACCGCAAACCCAGTATAAGAGTATCTAATACTCAAAATCATCATCCGCCGCGGGCCCCTTACTAACACTCTCCTGCCTCCTATACATCTCCGCAATCTGTCTACTACTCGTCGCCTCATCAACCTTCTTATCATCCCTAATCTTAATAAACCTCGGAAACCTCAAACTAACCCCCTTCTCCGCATCCCCGGCGATGCCCTCCTTATACCCAGCGCGATACTTCGGGCTGAGCGTCAAGTCCGCCGTGCGCACCTCCCACACATAGCGCGGCTCGAACCACACGTCGGGTTGGTGCGCGTTGACCTTGCTGTGCTCGTAGAAGGGTTTGGGGCGATCGATGACGGTGTCGGAGAGTTGGGCGTGCAGGGTCTCGAGGACCTCTTCGCTGAAGCCCGTGCCGATGTTGCAGACTGTTTCGTAGCGCTCGGTGGAGGGATTATAACAGGCTAGCAAGAACGCGCCATACACGCTGGTTCGCTTCCCCTTTCCGTGGTAAGCGCCGAGGACGACGAGGTCGAGCGAGTCCCCGATGCCGGCGAGGTAGTCCTTCTTGATCTTGAGCCAGTTGCGGGAGCGCTTGCTGGGCTCGTAGCCGGACTCGACGCCGTCGAGCATCTTGACCATGAGGCCCTCGCAGGAGGCCTTGACGGACTCGTCGAGGAAGGTTTGGATGTCGTCGATTTCCTGGCCGTTCATGGAGGTGGCGAAGGCGAATTCGCCCTCGACGGGGGTGAAGGCGGTGTGCAGGAGGGAGCGGCGCTCCCGGAGGGGCTTTTCGACGACGGCTTCGCCGTTGAGGAAGAGGAGGTCGAAGGCGAAGACGCAGACTTTGACTTTGACGTCTTCGGTTTTGACGTCCTTCTTCTTGCGCGTCATGAGTTGCTGGAAGGGGAGCACTTTCTTCTCTACCGTGTCCCAGGCTACGGTTTCGCAGTCGAGGACGAAGCTCTTGGTCTCCGGCTTGACCCACGTGCCGAGCTTCTCTAAGATATCGGGGTATTTCTTGGATAGGTCCTCCGAGTTGCGCGAGAAGATGGCTGCGAGTCCACCTGCTGTTCCCTTGGCTGCTGCGGGAACGCTGCTTTGGTATTTTGTCTCGGAGTCTTTGGATACGTAATGAATCTGGGCTCTTTCGCCATCGTATTTGTACTCGCAAGTGAATGTCTGGCCTTCGAATCGATCAAGGACTTCTGTAATGGCCTTGGTTGGCTTTGCCAACATGGGTTTGAGAGGTACTCCTGGCTGGAGCTTGCAGTTGTCTCGGAGGTTGAAGATGCCATGCTGGAGCATAGCTGGGATAATTACATCGTAACTGGGGAGTTCACTATTTGATAGATTAGAGTCTGGATCTTACACGTGGGAAGAATTGACTTACCTGTACACGGCTTTCAGGACTTGCTCCCCCTTAGCCAACTGATCCGTAGAAGGCACCTTATCTCTTCCTTTACTCTCGGTCTCGTGGCAGACCATGGCCTGAGCCAGCGATACCAAGACCGTCTTCTCAGCCAGGCCGAGTCTTAGTTTACCCTCCAGAAACCTGACGATGAACTTGGCTTCACTTGGGCCTCCCTTGTCCTTTGCAAGATCGACCTTACCGCCTCCGCTATCAGCAGCAGAGAGCAGTTTCTTGATACCGTCCACTTTGCGGGTCTGTGCTCCATTGCCCTGCATCACTGCAATATTCAACAGAGACTTGTGAATACCCCTGACCGTCAGCGGCTTGGGTTTGTACATGGTCGGCTGGTTAGACCTGCTCTTGACAGCCACCAGGCCTAAATCGCCGATCTCCTTTTGATCCTGCTTGATGACTGCCAGACTTCGGCCGGTGGCTTCGCCGATAGCTTTCATTATGAGCGACTCGCCAATACCCAACTCAATGCCAGCATAGTCTGCCGCCAGTTTGTTGATCATGAGGAGAACAGTCGGTAAGAGATCGTCGGGTGTGAGGCGGAGGACTTGACGCAAGAAGAGAGAGCAATGCGCAGCAATGATTAAACGTTTCGTCGTCATCTCAATGAGCGAAAAGGTCGTGCAGAGTGCTGCGTATGGTACTGGCTCTCCCGGTTTCCAGTCTGGATATGGGTCCTTGCTATTCGACTTCAGGGTTGTTTGTATCTTCTCTCGGGTTTTCGCAGCCAATTCTGGCTTCTCATCCTCCTCATCTTCTTCAATCTCCTCCTCTACTTCTGAGCTGGCTTCGGGGGTGGCTGATGCTTTCCTCTCTGGCTTGGCGAGAGGTTTATCGTCTTCAATCTCGACTATCTCCTTCTTGATACCCTTAGTAGCTGCCTTTCCCGTGCCTTTCTTATTCGCTGCTGCAGTATCTTTCTTATTTGGCTTGGTTTCGGATGCGTTCTTCGACACCGTAGATTCCTGGCCGCTTCGACGCGATCGTTTCAAGACGGGTTCCTCATCCTCTTCCTCCTCTTGTTCCTCCTTTAGCTTTTTTGATTCGTCGGATGCTGCAGCTTCACTCTTGAAATCTTCCAGAGCCTCGTCTCTAATCCGTTTCTTGGAGTCTGAATTGAATTAATTGGGGTCCTGCACTCCATAATGGCCAAGCCGAGTTGGGGAAACGCACCTTTGCCATTGGGTGAAGGGCTAGCCTTCAACTCCGAGGCCAGCTGCTCGTTCACAGCATCTTCATCACTTTTAGGGGTTCGGTTCTCATTTGGTGTATCCTCATCCTCAAGCTCCTCTTTCTTCACTGGTGTCTTGACCTTGGATTCATTCGTGGATTTCGAGGAAAACGAGAGAGTTGTTTGTTTCGGAGGAGCTGGATTCGCACTACTGGAACCCCCAAAAAACCTCCTGTATAACCGCAGCGTCAGAAACAATATCCAAAACCGGGGAGTTGGACAGCTCATAGCTCTCCACGCACCCCAACGTAGTCTGCGAAGGCTTTACATACCCAAGCGTTGCCTGTTTCGGAGGCATTGTGCTGGAAGACCTAAGAACCAAAAGCCGACTAGATAGGTTGACAGCAGAGATTAAAAGTCGTCTTGGAGACACAACAATTGCTTTGTTCATTGAAAAAAAAAAGAGGCACTCGAATTCCCTCTTCTAAAACCTTCCCTCGCGACCGACCGCCTGCCTGCCTAGAATTCCATAAGTCGCGACTTGGGCCGCCGGCACGGAAAGCGCGTCGTCCGTGTTAATTAGGCGCTAATCCGTTTACGGCAGACTCCCTTAGTGACTCAGAGGCGGTGAGGACAACCCCCACCAAAGGGCTCGCTGGCATTGTGGGATGAAAGAGAGTTACAAGAAATAAAAATAAACACAACTTCCCCCCCACCGCGACTACGATGGCTTCGACTCTCGACGCCGTCAAGGCCAAGATCGAGGAGATTCTGCCGACCAGAAGCGCACAGACCGATTCTACCAACGCGATCTACATTGACTTGGACGCTGGCAAGGACGAGGAGGGCGCAGATGGCTCCGAGGCAAAGCCGTACAAATCTTTGGGTTATGCATTCATCCAGCACGGCGGCGCGGAGAACAAGTCATATCTCCAGCGCGCGTCTGTTACGGGCGCCGTGAGCGCGGATGGTGACCCATCTGAGCGATTGGCGTGGAAGGAGCCGGCGAAGAGCGCCGTGAAGAAGGCCCAGAATGCGCTCGACCAGCACAAGAAGAAGTTGGTTAAGCAGCAGCAGATCGCCGCTGCCGAGGCTGAGAAGGAGCAGCAACGCCTCAACAACCTTGAGGACGCGAAGAAGATCGTCCTCACGGAAGATGCGTCGCTGCCAAAGGCTGTGAGAACTACAACCGGCGATAAGAATATCAAGCTGGGAGAGGGGGATGTCAAGGGAGCACGTGTCAAGATTTGTGGACGCATTCACAGATTGAGACAGCAGAAGCAGGCTACATTTATAACCCTGATCGACGGTTACGGTCACCTGCAGTGTGTCCTTACCGGCGACCTGACCAAGACCTACGATGCTCTGACCTTCGCCCAAGGCACCTCGATTGCCCTGTTCGGTGAGATGCGCAAGCTTCCAGACGGAGCCACTGCTCCAGATGGCCGTGAGCTCCAGGTCGACTACTACAAGGTTATTGGCTCCGCGCCCAGCGGCGACGATGCCATCACCAACAAGGTTTCCTCAGAGAAGAACATGTGGGACGCCCAGATGCTGGATAACAGACACCTCGTCCTCCGCGGCGACAACGCCTCCTCCGTCATGAAAGTCCGCTCCGCCGTCGAATGGGCCTTCGCAAAAGCCTACAAGGACCTTAAATTCACCAAAGTCAGCCCCCCAGCCCTCGTCCAGACCCAAGTCGAAGGCGGCTCCACCCTCTTCGAGCTCCCCTACTACGACGAGAAAGCCTACCTCACCCAGTCCTCCCAACTCTACCTCGAGACCGCCATCCAGAGCCTCGGCAACGTCTACTGCATCGAGAAGAGTTTCCGCGCCGAGAAATCCCTCACCCGTCGCCACTTGGCCGAGTACGCCCACGTCGAGGCCGAGCTGGACTTCATCGAGTTCGACGACCTCCTCGATCACATCGAGCTGATGATCGGCACCGTCATCGAGACCATCCTCGCCGACCCCGAGATCGCGGGATACATCAAGGAGCTCAACCCTGACTTCAAGGCGCCCGCGCACCCGTTCAAGCGCATGCGCTACTCTGACGCCATTGACTGGCTCAACGCCCAAGATCCCCCTATTCTCAACGAGGAGGGCAACCCCCACGTCTTCGGCGACGATATTGCGGAGGCTGCGGAAAGAAGGATGACGGATATCATTAACTTGCCTATCCTCCTCACGCACTTCCCTACCGCTATCAAGGCTTTCTACATGAAGCGTGACCCTAACGACCCGCGTGTCACCGAGAGCGTCGACGTCCTCATGCCCGGCGTCGGAGAGATCGTCGGCGGCTCAATGAGAATGGAAGGCTACGAGGAACTGATGGCCGCGTATGAGCGCGAGGGCATCCCGCCAAAGGAGTACTACTGGTACACAGACCAGCGCAAGTGAGTTTCCCACGCACCCCCACATATCCCCTCAATTACTCCCCCGTGACTACCATAGCTGTAAAATTAAAGTAATGAGCAATCGGCTGATACATACCCCCCTCCCAGATACGGCACCTCCCCCCACGGCGGCTACGGACTGGGTCTAGAGCGCTTCCTCGCGTGGGTGTGCAACCAGCATTCTGTGAGGACGTGCTGCTTGTACCCGCGCTTCATGGGGCGTTGCAAGCCGTAGTTTAGTTGGGGTTCATTCGGAGGAGTGTCCCGGTCTATGCGTCGTCGCGCTTTCTTTGTGGCCACGTCCCCGTTCGTCCCGCTAGCTAGCATGAGCCGTGGCATTGTTTGGATGCGGTGGCGGTGCAATGGAATGCTGTGGTGGTGATCGGGGGTGGATGGGAGGGACAGGGTGATGAGTAGTTGATTAGATAGAAAGAATGTTAAGCAACAATATCAAGATCCCTTATACAGTAGTCAACGAGATCTGCTGGAATCTCTGTGTGTGAATTAGTTTCTGGTTACTGGTCTCTTCCTCCCGTGATCACACCAGCGGCAAGATAAACCCTCTCTCGCAATTTACACTTTTAATAACCTCCTTGCATGCCTCCCGCCCTAGCCGCATGTAGTCCGTCCCCCTAGCCACCACCCCCATCCCATCCCATCCATGCAAAACAGCACCACTACTACTCCCTGGGACCGGCAGCCCGCAGGTTACACTACACACCCAGTGTTACTCCATACGGATGTCTCATCGGTTCTAGGCGTTTGCAATCTGCCAGTTTCAGACCCCTTGCTGGGGGGCTTGGGGTGTTTGGTAGGGGCGGGGGGTTGGTTGGTATGGATGTAGATGTTTTGTCTGTTATGTATAGTAGTAGTGTTAGGAGGGTTAGTATGGTTAGTATGGTTAGTATGGTTAGTATGGTTAGTAGTGGTGGTAGTGGTTAGTCGGTAGAGTATGCTTAGGAGTGTTAGTAGAGTTAGTAGTCCCCTCCGTAAGTCGTAGCGTTGGTCTCCTCCTGTACCCTAATCTGCGGCGCTGTGCGTAAGAGTTGCAGCGTGCATAAAGACTGGGGCCGATGGGGATGCATGGACTGTGAGGCTGCATATGATGGGCCGGAGGGTGTGAGTTAGCAGGTAGAGTTCGATCGGGACTTGTTGGTAGTGGCTGTAATGGTGAGACCTTTTTTTTTGGTGCTCCTAAGATGGGTAGAATGAGGCTAGGATATATAGAATATACTGTCTGTGTGTGTATTTGTATGCCCTCTCCCTGTCCTGCCTGTTTCTCTCCCTGTGTTTTGACTCCTATACAATACAACCCTCCCTATATACATACACCCCTCTTCACCACTTTTTCTCCTGATGTACCTTTGTACTTACTTGCACTATCCCCTTTCTGTCCTCCCTCCCTAACTCAAACTAACTCAACTGTGCAACCCGCTACCCCTGATCCGTAGTATTCCCAAACCACACTAACCCCCAATCAGGCTAGCATTCCCCTTGACATCTAGAGTTGCTCTGGTGGGTGCTCTTACCACCATTTCCACCATTTCCACCATTTTTACCACCTCTGGCTTTACTTTGAAGAGTACAAGAAATACCCCCCAGCAAAACTCTCTCATTGGCTCCAACATCCAAGATCAAATCATCAAATGGAACTCCTCATCTCCATCTCCACCAACCTCTAACTCCATTAAGCCATATTCCCTCCAGATCAGCCTCTTATCCACCCTTCTTCAGCCCCAACTCGGTCATTAATTCTATATTTACGCCCATATTTAATCTCAAATCTCCTTGTCACCCAAATCTCGCCCATGAGAAAATGCAGGGCCCCCAATTACCCAATACGTCCGATACGAACATCCCAGTCACCACCCCCTCCCTCCACCCTCCATCCACCCCCCAGGTCCCTCTCTCTCTCCCTCCCAGAAGCTCATTTCTTTCCCCAATTCTACTCTTTGGTTGGTCCCTTCCCGCCACACCTTTGCCTTTTTGTCCCCTACCCTTCTTTCCCTTCCCTTCCCTCCCCCAAACCTCCATCTCCAAACCTTCATCCTTCAATACCCAAAAAACACCACCACTCCTTTTGGTGTCTCTTCTTCGTGTTCTTTGCCCTTTTTAATTTTTTTGAACAGCTTCAGCTTCTTACTTCCAATCTCGTTCACCTTGTTAAAATACGCATACCTTTACACCTATTCTTCTGCTCCCCGAATAAACAGGTCCCTTTCCTTAACACACGCCCCCTGCAGCAGCCACACCAACAGCACAGCGATCAAAAAAAATCCCGAGCTCCACCGAACCTGTCGATTTTCTCTCTCGCCCTTTGAGCTTCTAGAAGACCGTTTTTTCTTTGCTGCAAGGAGAGATCCGCGGCTGCATACATACCTCTTGCCTACCAGCTTGTTTAGCTCGCAGCTATCCCGATTTCGAAATCTATCCGAAAGCTCAAACCTTCAACCCTGCGAAACGCTACGCTACGCTCTCTCGCCCCAAGATAAACAACCCCCTTCGTGCGATGGTCCGCTGAGACGCCTGTATACAATCTCGCTCGAAAGCAATCAAACATCGAACATATCGAAAACAAACCTCCCCTTTTTGCCTCCGCGTGGGCTATATACTTCATATCAACCTCATTTTATACGCCCCTGCTATAAGCTATAATATCTTTCAATTCGAATTGATCTTGTCTTAAACATATATTGGGCCATCTACAACCTTCTCTTCAGAAGCTATCAGTTTTACTACACACTTTCGTGCCTCACAAGGCACTTTATCCTTCAACACGGCTGTATTATCACCACCGGTGCGGGACAACTTTGTCCTCCCACCTCATCTTTTGGGTATGCAGGAAACAGCATCAACCAGCGCCATGAACGGCCCAAACGCCAGGACTGCCTCCCGCTTCCCCGGCCATGCCTCCAAACCATCCCTCTCCGAGACGGGCTTCTCCCACGGCGCCTACAGCTCGAACCAGTTCTCCATGGGCGGATACGGCGACAGGCATCCAAACCGTGCAGCGAACATCCCTTCGATCAACACGCAACCGCTAGGGCAGAACGGGGCTGATGCCTCCACACCAGGGACCGCCTTCGACATGCAGTTCACCCCATTACTGCCGTCCCAGCTCCTCCTCGGAAGCCCCTTTCAACCGGGCTCCCCGGCCGCATTTGCCAACCCGCAGTTCCAGAATTTTGCCAACTTCAGCCAGCAGCATAATGGACAGCAGCAGCAGCAAAACGGCATGGCCAGCCCCATCCAGGGCCAGATGTCACCACAACTTTACCAGGCCATAGTTTCCCCGTCGACTTATGGTGCTCCGCAGTTCTACGCCCCGCAGTCTCCGACTCAGGGATACGCTGCTCTGGGGAACCAGATGCAGCTACAGATGCAAATGCAGATGCAGATGCCGACTTCGCCGCAGCAGGCCCAGGGCATCGCGGCCGGAACGAGCAGGACTGTCTATCTTGGCAACATCCCCCCTGAGACGTCCGCTGAGGAGATTTTGGGTCATGTCCGTAGTGGACAGATTGAGTCCGTCAGACTCCTCCCAGACAAGAACTGCGCGTTCATCTCCTTCTTGGATGGTGCCTCTGCCACTCACTTCCACTCGGATGCCATCTTGAAGAAACTGGCTATCCGCGGACAGGACATCAAGATCGGCTGGGGCAAGCCGTCCCAGGTCCCGACGTCTGTTGCACTCGCCGTGCAGCAGTCCGGCGCCTCGCGAAACGTTTACCTTGGTAATCTGTCGGAAGACATTACCGAGGATGAGCTGCGCGAGGACCTGGGCAAGTTCGGCCCCATCGATACAGTCAAGATTGTCCGTGAAAAGGCAATCGGATTCGTTCACTTCCTGTCTATTGGAAATGCAATCAAGGCGGTCTCTCAGCTCCCACAGGAGCCGAAGTGGCAGGCTCCTCGCAAGGTCTACTACGGTAAGGACCGCTGCGCGTATGTGTCCAAGACCCAGCAGCAGAACGCGGCGCAGTACCTTGGTATTGCTCCTGGTTACGCCCATGTCCTGAACGGCGCGGACCGTGATCTGATCTCCAACGCTCTAGCCCAGCAGTCCGTCGCAGCAGCCGCCGTTGCCACCACCGCCGGCGGCATCAACAACCTCGGAAACCGCACCGTCTACCTCGGCAACATCCACCCTGAGACCACCATCGAAGAGATCTGCAATGTCGTCCGTGGCGGCCTCCTACACCACATCCGCTACATCCCCGACAAGCACATCTGCTTCGTGACCTTCATCGACCCCACCTCTGCGGCCTCCTTCTACGCCCTCAGCAACCTCCAAGGCCTGATGATCCACAACCGCCGCCTCAAGATCGGGTGGGGCAAGCACTCCGGCGCCCTCCCCCCCGCCATCGCCCTCGCCGTCAGCGGCGGCGCCTCGCGCAACGTCTACGTTGGCAACCTCGACGAGTCCTTCACCGAGGACCGTCTGCGTCAGGACTTCACCGAGTACGGCGAGATTGAGCTCGTCAACACGCTGCGCGAGAAATCGTGCGCGTTCGTCAACTTCACCAATATCGCTAATGCTATCAAAGCCATCGAGGCCATCCGCGGAAAGGAGGATTACCGTCGCTTCAAAGTCAACTTCGGCAAAGACCGCTGCGGAAACCCACCACGCCAGCTCCAACAGCAATCCCAGCAGCAGGCCCAGCCCAACCGCGCAGACGGCGTCAACTCCCCCGCCTCAGCAGGGCACCAGAGTAACTCCCAAAACGGCTCCAGCCCGACAAACTCCCAAGCCCCAACTACCTCCTTCCAGCCCGCCCAAGCCAACACCGCTAGCGCTGTCCTGAACGCGGGGAGCAATAACCCGTTGACTATGTACCTCAATCAGATGAGCCAGCAGCAGGCGGCGCAGCACGCGCAGCATCAGCATCAGCAGTCCCTCGAGGGCGCGCAGGCGACGTATCAGCAGCAGAGACAGCAGGCGCTTGTGCAGCAGATTTATGGGAATGGTGCAGGGGGGGATAATGGTGGCGAGAACAACAACAACCAGAATGGGCAAGCAGACGGACTAGGAATCCAAACACACTCGCATGGCGGACATCAGCATTCTGCGTCTATCTCCAACGGCTACGCAGCCCCTACCTCAAGCTCAACGACTGTAGGCGGTCTCCTCGCCCCTTCCAACGCGCGGAGCCAACACGCGAGAGCGGCATCTCTCCCATTCTTCGCGCAGGACTCCTCGAACCAGTCAACCACCTCCTCTAACGGCCTTGGCGTCAACGGCGGCGGTGGTGGGCAGGGTTTCGCAGGCAGGGGCCACGCGTATCAATCTTCCTTCTCGGGACTTGTGAGCGGGATGGGGGGATTGGGGTTTGGTAATGCGGGGGGGATGAGTGCGGGGATGGGTGTTGTGGGGGGAGGTGCGGGTGGGGGTGGGGGGTATGGACTTGCGCTCCAGGAGGGGGGGTTGAATGGGTGGGCTGAGGAGGCTTCTTAGTCTGCTTTGGCTTGATCTGTTGTGCCTTTTCGTCTGGCTGCGTGGTTGTCCGGCCTTTCATCTGCTCTGACCTCCATGTGATGTGACGGTTGACGGTGATGGAGAGGGAGTGGCTGAGAGTTGCGACGAGCGTTGTACCAACATCGATAATCTATCTTTTTTACTTTTTTACCTTTCTTTGCTTGTATACTTTGGTTTTTACTGTTTTAATATCCTACTTTTTTTGCTGCTTGTTGCTGTCCTTTTGCAAACTATTGTTTTTTTTGGGGTCGTTATTTTTGACCCTATCACACTGCTGCTCATCTTACCTTACGGGCACGCCTACCTTTTTTTTGTTCTTGTTGTCCATCGATTGCTTTCGTGCTTACTTGTTTTTCGCGGTTGGAATCTCGGGCGCTATTTGCTTTACTGTTTTTTGCTGCGTCGCGCGCGCGTTGTGATATCATCCCTGCTTTTTAGGTCTTAGGTCTTTTTTAATCGCTAGTCTTTTTTGGATCGAAGCCTAGTTTCATTTGGAAAGGGACGCGAGAGGAACGAAAACGGGCTGGATACGGGAGGGGATGGAAGCTGGTGAGATACGGATGGACTGAAGATGGAAGGAGAAGAGAGGGGAGAGATATAATACCATATAATAGAGCGACACCTACCCCCAGGGAGTGGGAGAGAGGGGAGATGTAATATGAGATAGGCGTGGGATGTCAGGGCATAGGGACATTTAGTGGCATAGTCTGGGAGTGGGGATAATGGAATACCTGGGTTTTTGAGCACTACTTCCGTTTTTGGTCTGTTGTGGTTTGGTCTGTTGTGTGTGATTTTGTAAGTGTGTAAGTGTGTAAGTGTGTGTTTATATCTGTATTTGTATATCCTGCTCATCGTGATCTAATCGTAGCTACCTACCCTACCCTACACCCACTCACCCACCTCCCTCCCACACCCTCCCCCTCAGTCCCTCCCTCCTCCTAACCCCCCACCCCTACCGTCCTTTCTCAGCCCTGAGCGCCCGTTTCCGCGCACGACGCACCTCAACTTCTAAACCCCTCATCCTCACCTTGACACCAGCCAGCTCGACTATCATCTGTACCGCGTCTATCGCCGACGCCTGCGCTTCTCGTAGGGAGGGCGGGGCTAGGACGCCAAATATGTGTGGAAGTGGCGGCGGTCCTTTCACTGTTGAGGGTGTGGGATCTATATCCTCTCCCTCCTCGTCGTCTGCACCACGCTCCTCATCCTCATCACCCGTATCATCTCCCTCTTTCTTCTTCGAGGCGGGTTCAGGGTCGATGGCGTGGAGTGTGAACACCGCCTCTCCCTCTCCCTCTTCCTCACTGCCGTTGGCTTCATCGTCATCCGGTGGAATGACGTGCAGTCGCACTGAAGCGCGTAGTTTGGAGTTACTGCCGGATGTATAACCCATCTGATGTGGTGTACTGAAGTTCGCGCGGGCGAGGGAGAGGGATGTCTTCTTCTCGTTAGCTTGTATTCTTGAAATGAGGAGAGAGGAGGGGGGACGTACGGATGATTGTAGCGCAGTCAACTTGCTCCGCAGCGTGGTGTACGTATGCAAGAGCTCGAGATAAGTCGTCAAGAGTGCGTCTATATCCGCCGTCGTCCCCGCTGTGGTTGTGGTGGTTGTCGTTGAGGCCATGATGTCGTTTCCTTGCGTTGATTGCCCTGGTCTGGTCTGGTCTGGTCTGGTCTGGTCTGGTCTATTCAAAGTATTCTAAGTATTCGAAGTATTGCGTTTCCCAGTTCGATATCGACTTCGATACTACCACATATATCCCACGACCACAGATACGTTGATGAGCAACTGATCTCGAACGTGTAAAGATCAGCCTCCCGCGCAAGGCTGACAACTTGACACCATCACCTCCCTCACCTCACCTCGCGCACAGTCCAGTCTGGTTCGGGAGATTAAACCTTAGCGTGTAGGGTAGGGGTGCATTTGGTTTCGTTTTAGGTCACGGCGCTAGACTGCATTGGGATGGAGGGAGGGTAGTGTGTTTCTGGTTGTGATGTGAGGTTGAGGTTAATTTACTGGGGACGGATGGGGTTAGGAGTGTTTGGAGGGGATTTTTGAGGGGTGGGGATAGGAGGGGAGTGAATTTTTGGCTTGGTGGAAGGGGATAGGAGGAGATGGGGGAGTGATTTGTTTTGCTAGGAAGGGGTTTTTTAGAGGGGGAGGAGATGGGAGTGTTTGTGAGCTGGTGTGGTGGGATATGTTATATGGGATATGAGATACTTTAGTAGGTCTAATAGATGAAAGTGTTTATAGTACAGGTTCGACGTCCAATATCAGATCCCCCTCCCCCTCCCTAAGAGACTCATACCATTCTTCTCTACAAGATTAGAAGCCGAGTAACCTTCTTCTGTAAGAGATCCTGAATCCTTCTCAATGCATGACATATGAAGCCGAAACTCTGCATGAGCATGAGATGCAGTAGAAGGACCGTAATAGAAGACCAACCAACCCTTCCTTGGATTCTGGAAGAAATTATACATGCAGCAGTGCAGTTTACCTGCCCGTGGCAAGCTAGGATTCGATTCCCACGAACTGATACTTACAGTGCTTATGTACACTTTCCTCTAGTAGGCGGCTTTATGTACTCTTACTCTAGTCGTTTATGCCCGTCGTTTCATGGTTTGATGGGCCAGTTAGAGGAGTGCGAGGCCCCTGGTTAAATAGGCATACGTAGGGAGGTACTGTTAATGCGAAGCAGCCAAACGACGCTTATAGCATGGCAAAACAACTATAGCGTGTGTCGTAGCTGCACGCCTTTTCCCCACAGGATTAGGGGACCATGGCGTACGGTAATTACAGTTCGAAGCGTTACGAATCCTTGTTTGGTTTGCTGCGGTGGTTTCTTAGGGGGAGGATGGATGGGAGGGAGGGGATGGGAGGGCGGTACGGGTTATTGTGGGAATTTGTGGGAATTTTGGCAGGTTTGACAACGGGTAGTGGCGGTGGTGCTTTTGGCTGGTGGTGAGTGTGTGTATTGCGATGGATAGCACGTCAAAGTGTACAGTACATCCTCGAGATAAGATACTGTTCTCGAACACCACCGAGAACGAGGGTATTCGTAGAACTATACCGGTATAACCTCTATACTGTACTCCCTATACTCTGCACTCTACACCGACGATCTATACTGTATAGTACAGTACAGCAGTCCACCCAGCTGCATCACAGTCAACGGTCTGCGTCGTGTCGTGAACCCTGCAAGCTCATAAACCTTCGTACTCTACTCCAGTACAGTACATAACTGTAATCTAGTAATCTAGCAGCAACAGTGCACTTTCTCCACCACTTGACCCTTCAACCACCACCCATCACCCATCACCAACCACTAACCACCAACCACACCCACTAACACCAACACCAGCCTTACCACTTTCAAGCCACAACCCCCTTTTCAACCACACACCACAGACCACACGCACCCTCTTACCTTCTTCTGTACTTACACTACAACAACCCATACATATAAACTAAGGATACCTCATAATCCATCCTCATCTTCATCCTCAATCTTCACCCCTTTGTTCCTCTCCTCTTTCCAAATCCAAAACCTCTCTTCTTTTTACCCTTTCTCTCTTCATTCCTCACCCTCAGTCCCCACCCACCTACCTCCCCACCGCAATCTCTCACCGATAAAGCTCCCCCTCGCTTCCACCCGGCTAATACACCACGCTACTCCCTCGCCCAAACCTTGCGCCAATCCCCAAGCTTACCCACCACCACTACCACCACCGCTACCACCACAATCACCGCCTGTCATCAGAAAACAGATAGCCAACAGACAACCAAGCAAGCCCCGTTCCTTCCTTCAAACGTCTCGCCCGTGTTCCTGTCACTTCACTTCGAAACAATCTTTCTTCTCCAACCACAACCACCACAACCTCCACCACTCTTACACAACAAACCAACAACCTACCTCCATTTCCACCTCCACCAACAACCGCAACTTCCGCAATCAAACGCAATCAACAACAACCCCCATTCCACAACTCGACCCCGCGACCTACCTCCTCCCACAATTCAATCCGCCACACCGCATCCACCCTCCTCCACACACCTCCAACCAACAACCCTCCACACCCCGTCAAGGCAGCTCGCTCTCTCCGAGGCTGCTGCTGAGGATACCACATACCCGCGCATTTTCCACCTCCTCTCCAAACCGCAGATATGGTTGTAGCTACGATTAAGTGAGTTGGATTGACCCTTTGTCTGTCTCAGTGGCGTACCCGGGTGGTCCACACACCTACCTGGTGCGACCTGGGATGGTCTATAATATATCCTTGAAGGAAGTGGATTTTGATTGCTGACCTTCTTGACTGATAGGTGCGTTGTGGTTGGTGATGGTGCTGTGGGAAAGACTTGTCTTTTGATCTCTTATACCACAAACAAGTTCCCTTCGGAATATGTCCCTACTGTCTTCGATAACTATGCTGTCACTGTCATGTAAGTTCCCCTCATCCAGCTCTTCCGAAACCCCGCAACAGCAACCCCCACCTTCCCCTCACACACCTCCCCCATCTCACTCACCTCACCTCCCCCATTCCAAACACATCCACAAACAACCAAACAACGCCAACTAACCTCCCTCCCCCCCGCAGGATCGGCGACGAGCCCTACACCCTCGGCCTCTTCGACACAGCCGGACAAGAAGATTACGACCGCCTCCGCCCGCTCTCCTACCCCCAAACCGACGTCTTCCTCGTGTGCTTCTCCGTCACCTCGCCCGCCTCCTTCGAGAACGTGCGCGAAAAGTGGTTCCCAGAGGTCCACCACCACTGCCCGGGCGTCCCCTGCCTCATCGTCGGCACACAGACCGATCTGCGCGACGACAGCAGCGTGCGCGAGAAGCTGATGAAGCAGAAGATGAGTCCGGTGAGGAGGGAGGATGGAGAGAGGATGGCGAAGGAGTTGGGCGCGATTAAGTATGTGGAGTGCTCGGCGCTGACGCAGTATAAGTTGAAGGATGTGTTTGATGAGGTGTGTAGTACTTCCCTGTGGTTCTTTGATTCTCTTGGTTCTTTGAAGGATCGCGGTTTGTTTGTTTGGTTTGGCGCATGTGTACTGACGATCCATCCCATAGGCTATCGTAGCTGCTCTCGAGCCCCCAGCGCCCAAGAAGAAGCACGGGAAGTGCCTGGTCCTGTAGATGACCTGACTGTATATCCCCGACCTGGTTTCGCAATTGTACCCAGCCCATCTTCAGATCGATCGACAAATTCAAGGCTTTCCGAACCGCATTTTCGAACCTCAGCGCGCCCTTCACCTTCGCATCCGATGACATTGCTACCGAGAGCAAGTCAGTCTTTGCCCAGCAGTCCAATATTTGTGCACCAACCATGCGAAAGCGCGAATATCCTTTCTTCCTTCCTCTCTCTTCTTCTTGGAGCTAGCATAAAAGCATATCGACAAAAAAGCTTTTTATTTTTTGGAACAAAAGAACAACGACGATGCGACAAAAGCTGGAGAACTCTTGGGATGAAAACAGGCCAAATCGGAACAAACCAGGAGGGGATTGTCTTTCTTCTTCTTCTTCTTCAACCACATCCTTTTTTTCTTGTGTGTTTTCTGGTGGTGTGTGATACCGCGATGAGTGTTTTTTTTTGCTAGGCGTAACGATTAGGGACTTACTACTCCGATTGATTTGTTTTTCTTGCAGTATGGTGATGGCTGCTGTCTGTCTTGTATGGGAAAGCGAAATTAAGACAGTGACAGACAGACAGAGAGAGGGGGGAGAGAAGGAGAGAAGGGGAGAAAGGGAGAGAAGGAGAGTATGGAGAGATGGTATGGTGACAGTATGAGGGGAGTATGGAGAGTATGGGGGGTAGTATGGGAGAGAGAGTATGATGGAGAGAGATAGGGGGAGAAGTAAGGAGAGGAATGGGGAATGAATGGAAGATTATTTGAACAATACCGCCTTTTTGCTCACTCTGCTTTGTCTTTGTCATTGTCTTTTTCTTTTCATTGTCTTTTTCTTTTCATTGTCTTGTGTTGGTATTGTGTTGGTATTGTGGTGGGTATTGTGGTGCTATTGTGGTGCTATTGTGGTGCTATTGTGGTGCTATTGTCCCCTTTGTCTGGTGGGTATTGCGGCGTAGGCTGGTGAATAGGGGGTTGTCGTGACGGGTGAAGGGTGCGTATTGAGAGGTGAGTCGGTGGGTAGGGTGGTGAGTCGGTGAGAAAGGGAGTGTTGTGAGGCGTGGGGGGGCCGTGTGACGGCTTGCGTGAGGCGGCATGCTTGTGTGAGTGTGAGTGAATAGTGTCCACACCAATGTGCCTAGTGCACATCCCCCTTCCCCATTCCTTGGTGATATGCATCACCCTCCCTGGGAGGTTTCTTGTCAGTACTGCATGAAAGTGAGTCAAGTGCTTGCTTGCTGTGTATGGTCGACTGGTGATTATGCTGTGCGTATCCAAGCTGTGCTGTGTCGTTGGTGATATCTGCATCAAGTTGAAATCGGTATATCCAAAGCTGGAGTCAGCTTCACAAGAAGAAGCTGCAGGAGGATGGATGCGTGGAAGTCCACAGTCCCCCTCTGTCCCACTGGGTATCTGATTCCGTGGGTAGTCTCACACCCATATCACTGTGCTCATGCGTTCATCAGAAAACATTTCATTCAAAATAAAACATAAGTTGCCCTTCTCCTCAAGCATGACAGTGACAAGAAAACCTTCACACCAACATGTCGTGTCCCCCCCCACTCCTCCTCCCTCCTCAACCCTTCCTTTGTCCCTCCTCACCTCTTTGCCACCGCGTGACCATTGTAACGACGTCGTCGCGCAGGAGAGGTGTCGACTCAGCGGAAATTGCGGGGGAGGCGGTGCCCTCGCCCTAACTGACCGCGCACGCTTGCGCTTTTGGGGCCCCTTTCCTCCTTTTTCTTCTTCATCGGCGGCAGGGGAGTCGACAACGACAAACTCCATGGGAGAGGCGGCTTTTTGCTCTTTTGAGTGAGAGTTAGCAGATATCAAGATGAAGGGGAGGTGAGGTACTTCCCATCACTGGTGAGTCTCATCGAATCCATCTTCCCAAATCCTTATTCCAGTTTCTAACACCCATCCCACTCCATCGAGCGACCAAGCATCGGACCCCCTATTGTCAGTACACCACCACCAAACACACAAGCACAGCTAGCAAATGCACCAGCAGTGAGTAAAAAGCTTCTTTATTCTACATACAAGAAGCCAGAAGCCAGGCGCCAAATGACGAACAGGCACGGTGGCTGACAAACTCTGCGTCAGGATATAAACTGACAATTAGGAGCAAACAGAGCCCAAAACACAAAAGCCACAAAGCCAGACACGCACACGCAGAGAGAAGCACACAGACGCGCACACGCCGCAAAAACCACACAGGGCCGGAGAACACAAAGACAAAAAGACAGACACGCAAAAGCACAGGAGAAGAGAACAGTGACCAAAACAACAACCCAGAAGAAGAGAGAAGAAGCCATGCGAAACAAAGCCGGGACGTCAAAACGTCAGTCACCGACCACGTTGGCGACTCTTCTTCTTCGTCGGATACCAGCACAGAGGCAGCCAGGCGAAACAAAGCGAGGAGAGTGCCTGATGGCGAGAATCTCCTGCCACGTTGGCTGTCCCCGTCAAAGGCGACCAGGCGAAACAAAGTCGAGGAGCAAGGGAAAGAGAGGCTCCAGGACCACGTTGGTCGCGCCGGGATTCCAGATGCAGCCATGCGAAACAAAGCGAGAAGACTGCCTAAAGGCTCGATCTCCTGCGCCACGTTGGCTGCAATCACTTCCTCTCACCTCGAGCAGCCATGCGAAACAAAGCCGAGAACTTCGAAACCGTTCTCAGCCACGTCGGCTGCTCACCCACACCCCCGCACAGCCATGTGAAACAAAGCCCCGAACAACAAGTCCGAAGCCACGTTGGCTGTCCCGAGCCGCATCCTTTCTGGAAAAGGGAACGAAGACAAGGCCACCCAACTGGATCTCAATCCGAGTCAGGCACCTGTCTCCGCCTCATGCGCTGTCTATACTCGGCCCCCCCCGCCTCAGCAGCCAGGCGCCCCGCACGATTCGCGAGACGCACCGACTCCGAGGGCGCGAAGGGGGGTTGTTGGGGCGGGAGCGGGATGGGGTGGGAGAGGATCTGGAAGAGTCCCGGTTCGGGCAGGCGGCTGCCGAAGCGGTGACGGGGTCCGAGGTATACGAACTCGGGGCTGGGTGGTTGTTGTGGTGGTGGGAGGGGTTCATTTGCAGCAGTCCCCTCCTCCTGCTGGGCCGCCGCTGGGGCAGCCGGGAATTGCAACGACTGGCGAGCACCTCGCGCTCCTCCCTGTTGCTGCTGCGGGACGCCGACGCCAGCATACAGCAACTGAGTCTGGAGACCGCCAACTGCAGAATACAGCATGGCGATTTGAGCTTCCAGACCCTGTCGCTCCGCCCCATGGGCCTCCGCCAGAACGCGAAGGTAGTCCAAGTGGCGTTCATGCTGACGCTCGGTCTCCGCAGCGTGCCGCTCGGTCTCCCGCCTCGCAAGGTCGAGCTGCAGCTGGAACTCGACTCGTGCCGCCGTGAGCGCGCGCTGGGCCACCGTCGCTTCCGCAACGTAGACGTCCAGCTCGGCGTGGGCGCGAGTGAGCTCCGCTTCTGCGGCTGATGCGCGCGCCTCAGCTGCTAGGCGCGAACTCTCGGCATCCTCGAGGGCGGCTGAGAGATCGTCGATGCGCTGTTGCTGCTGGGCGCGGACGGGAGTGGGCTCCTCTTTTTGCTCCTCGCCGCGGGGGACAATCTCGTGAGCACTACCAGATGACCGAAGCCATCTGGCGGTTGTGCTGGGGTGCTGATCCGCGAACGAAACATAGCGGCCCCGTCTTAGAGACTGTCCCTCCACAGCGGCGGTGACAGGACGAAGAAACCCAACGGACTCCACAGACTCCCCGATGTCCGGAGTAGACGACGCCTCATCGCCCGAGGCCGTCTCTCTCACGACGAACAACGGCGTCTGCGGAAGCGGCTTATTAAGGGTCCCAGCCGTGAGGGAAGGTGACCGAAGATTCGGGATCGAGAATGCGCGCGCCAGCGACGATCTGCGCGCCGGCCAGCGTCGTGACCCCAGGGAGCCAGTTCCGCTGACTTTTGCGAGAGGCGCTCGGTGGGCGCTGGCTGAACTGCCAGGACGGGGAGTGAAGCGTCCTGTGAGGGACGCGAACACTCCCGGTCGCCCACCGACGCTCAGACCTGTCGCGGTGCTTTGGTTCGCTTCTCCATCTACGATCTCCGGCCTTGGGGTCGCGACTGCGGCGGCTTGCTGGGGGGGTGGACGCGCAGCTGCCTTCCGCGAGGAAGACGAGAGCGCGTCCTTGATGCCCCTGGCGAATCCGCGCAGTCCGCCCGTGACCTTCGCCCTACGCGTCGACTTGGGCGCTGCCTCGATGCCGGCGTCGTACTCGAAGTCCTCGTCGAGATCGAGGGTTCGGTGTGCGCCGGCGAGGAGCGGGACCAAAATCGGCGCTGCGGCTGAGGATGGTGGTGGTGGTGGAGTTGGAGAGGGGGGAGGAGGGGGGAGCTCGTCTCGTGACCCGCTATCGTCCAGCAGGGTCTCTGATTGCGAGACGGCTGGGCTGGGGGGTCTGATAACACCCTCACCCTCTCCCTCATCCCTCTCCATCTCGGTTGCAGCAGGCGAAGCAGAAGTGCCAAGAAGCAGCATCTCCTCTTCGACGACCTGCGCGGCCACCTCCGAAGCGGTCGCGGCGCGCTTGCCCTTGTCTCTGGGGGGACCGAAGTCCATCTTGCCGATGGAGGGGCTCTCATACACCCATCTGGATGCATGGCCCCCCCCATCGCTCAGAGACGACGAGGACGCACGCGCAGCGGATCCGTTTCGGATCACCATTTTACCCTTAACCCCCTCCTTCTCCTGTCCCTCTCGCGACGTGTCTTCGTCAACGGGGTCAGAGCCAGAGTTCACCTGCTCGTTAAACGAAGCTAGGTTCCTCCTCTGGATGCCCGCGAAGACAGGCGCCAACTCAATGGAAGGCGACCCGAAGACATCGCCACGATCAGGACTGGACACCCCGCTGATGACAGGTCGCTGGACCGCGGCCTGGACAGTGCCAAAGCCGGAGGTCCTACTGTACACCGACGGCGACGGTGTCCGCATGGCCCTCCTACGGGCCGGAAGGGGGGTTGCCTGCTCGGGAGGAGCAACGTACTCACCTACGACAACACCGCGTCCTCTTGGGCGAGGACTCCCCGTCGAGATCTCCGCGGGATAATAGGAGCCGCGCGTGGCGTTCCTCGCCGAGCTGCGCCGCGCGCTGCTGCGACCCAGAAGAATCCCGGATCGCGCTGCTGCTGCTGTGCTCCGAGAAATCGCCGCCACATCGCGCTCGTCGAACGGATCGTGGTGGTGGACGGGAGGGGGTTGAGCACCGTGCTGCTCAACACCTGATCCAGCTGCTGGGGGACCGTGTGGCCCAGCTGGCTGCTGAGCCACGTGGTTCCTCCACGCCGAAATCAGGCCCTCCTCCGTCACACCCCACTCGATCAGGCCTGGTGGGCAGGCGAGAGGGGCGGGCAGCGGGCTTGTGTGCGAAGGACCAGCCTGGCCCTCCGCACGCTCGCGATCCGCCTCCTCCTGACGCACCTGCTCGTTGAAGGCGCAGGCCTGATCATATATATCCTCAGGGATACCGAACGGGATCTGCGGGGGGTTCCTGTCAAGTGGACCCTCACCGCCCCATCCAGCACCCTGCGACGCTCCTCCTACCGCCTCCTCGGCGCGTCTCCTAGCACGCTTGAAGATAGCGGCGCGCTCCCGTGCGATCTCAGCCGCTGACGGGCTAGTCGGGAACACAAGCGCGCCCTTCTCGTCGTAGCTAGGGACTCTGCGCCGATTCAGCACGTCCCACAGTTCATCCTCGGCTGCCTGCCACGTCTCGGCATCGAGGGTCCCAGTACCGTAGTACGAGGACGCGGAGGCGGCGCCCGGCGACGAGACACGAGGGTGTCGGTGCCTGTTGGCATCACGACGACGATCCTCGGCCTCTTGCGCGGCGGCGGCAGCGACCTCCTTCTCCTCCTCCTCTTCCGCGCCGACGAGCTCAGAAAACGCCAGGGCATCAGCCATGAGTTGGCTTTGCTCGGCCTCGAACTCTGCCCGGGTTAGACCGCGGAGCAGCTCGAGATGGCCGTGCTGGTTGATGCCCGGCATTGGCATTCTGAAGCTCGCGGCTTCGGCGGCAGCGGCGGCGGCGGCAGCCTCTCCCTCATCCTCCACCTCCTCATCCACGTCCTCTTGCTCTTGGCGCACGTCCTCACTGAACGCACACATCATCTCGTACATCTCCCGCGTCATGCCCTCAGGGGTGCTGGGGCTCGGGTGCTCCGTATAAGCACCCTGGCCTTCCAAGCGGGAACCCCCAAGGTACGGTCCATGACCGGGAGAATCGGCGTACGAGGCAACGGCGGCGGTTCTCGGACTGCGAATGCGTGTCTGGCGATCGTCAACGGCGCCGTACCCGCCAGCTGGGACGCTGACGAATCGGGCGCGGTGCGAGGGGCCAGGCACGACATTCCCAAAAGCAGAGGCCTGCTCAATGGCCGAAGCCTGGGAGTTGCCGCGCGGTCGGCCAAGGAAAGCTGGACCGGCGGCAGCGGCGGCGGCAGGGGCTATCGGAGCTCGGGGTCCGGCAACCACGAATGGCTGCCGACGGACGACAGCACCGACGGGGTAGTGCCAGGCGCTGCCGTTGAACTCCGACAGCTGTCTTTCCTGCTGCCTCTCCCACTCGCGGCGGTGAAGCTCCTCGCGCCGGAGCCACGCATCCTCCGCCTCCCTACGCTGATCGTAGGTGGGGATCACCTGGTGCACAGGTGTGACTGGGCGGCGTCCAGCATTGCTGCTGGGGCCGGCTTGGGCGCCAGTCTGGATGCGGGCGTCGCGACGGCTGCGAGGGCTCACGAAGCCGGGGAGCAGTTGTGGTGGATGGGGGCGCGTCGGGGGGCGCACTCGGTCCTGGTCTTCGCGGACGGCGGTGCGGGTCGAGCCGCCTCTGGAGAAGGCGGACGACGAGGACGCAACCGCTTCGTGAGAGCGGACAGCCGCGCTGCTGCTGCCTCCTGGGCCCTGAGTAGCCACCTTGGAAAGTGGTGGCTGGGGCGGGGCGGCGGCGGCGGCGGCTTCCAAGTCCGCGGGATCCGAGCTGGTGACCCCCTTTATAATAGGGGGCAAAGGTGCGCCGGTCGCCATGGTTGGAAGAGGGTTTAACACCTGCGACCAACCAGCGGGCGACGCTGATACAGCGCCCTCACCAGCGCTACCCTCGGTGTCGGTGCCCAGGATGGGCTGTTCTCCAGCCGAGGAAACGGGTGCGGCTTGAGCTGCGGCTAGATCGCCGGGCTCAGTGGGCGACTCGAAACCAAGGCCGAGTCCGAACACGCGAGGGTAGAAGGGGATGGATCCCGGGAGGCTTGGACGAGGGCCTTCGACGGCCGTGGTGGAGCGCACATCGTGCGACTTGGCGCGACGATGGCTGGGGAGGGTCGAGGTGGTGTTGTCCTTCGAAGACATTGTGTTGGCACAATAATCTTCGGATCTGGTTGTGGTGGTCAGTCAGCAAGGGATTCAAATATGAGGAATGAGAAGTGAATCATCAAGGAAGCAGAGAGCTGCTCTGTGCTCTCGGTCCTTGGAAGCGGGTAGGGGTGGTTGAAAGGCTATGAAGGAGAAAGGGTTAAAGGGAGGTGAACTTACAATGTCGTTGCAATTCTGAGCTGACCTCTTTGGCCAACTGAACGGATCTTGGACCTATATATCAAGTCAGTCAAGAGCTGTCTTCGGCTTGAGACGGTGGAACTCACCCGGAATCTTCTCCTGGAAAATGGTCCCTTGGTTCGAGGGATGCACGGCACGAATGCACTTTTCCTTCGGAGCTGGAAGGAGAAAGGAGGTAAGTATAAGATGACCTGAGATTGATATCATGAAGAAGACTTACTGAGAAATGGTGATGGTGTTGCTGGTATTGGTTTGGTTTGTTTGGTTTGGTGGGCGCTGTGGTTGATCTTGCTGTTGTTGACGTTTGTGGGTGGAAAGAGTGAAAATGGAGGAAGATCGAGGGGTTGTGTGGGCGGCAGGACACTGCCCACGCGCAGGTTACCTGGGTTGCTACGGAGAATGGGAAAGCAGAGGGAGGCCGAACGTTACTATTACTAACACAGGGCTTTACGAAGATACTAATCATGATAATTACAGTTTCATATATATATTTACTCACTTATTCTCGCCGACGCCGATGCCGCCCCTCGCCGAGCTTGAAGTTATATTATCCGACACAAACCCCTTTTCTCGGTGGCCATTCACTTCAGCGGCAGCCGAGAGCACCGAATGGCGGCAAATCGTGGGATATTGCACCGGCTAGCTCGCCCTAGCCCTCTCAGTGACTGACCCCCTTATAGGCGTTTGCTAGAGTTTCCGCTACCAGTTTCAGCTGTCAGTGCCCTGGTATGAGCAGGCCAAGCTGGATATTCTGTTCTCGCATTCCAGCGGACTACAATTAAATACTTGAGCTGGCAGCATTATACGTCTGCGGCGAAATATACTTTTATACGAATCAAGAATCTTTCTGTGTTTATGAGACTTTCCGCTGCACATCCCGTCCGTTGGTATCTCAGATATCAAGAGTTGCTCCGGATACACCGTTTCCGCTTCCAGCGGCCGGAATTTGAATCTACAGGTTGATGGAATTATGTGCCGTTGGTTTGATTTGAACTTATAATTACTGAGGCGGCACTGATACACATAGTTCTTTGTAGCTCGGTCTCATTGTTATGGATGCCTTTGTCGGCCATCCAGCTCCTCGGCCTCAGCCCTTCGGCCTCAACTCCGCTTCCAACCGAATTCGGCTTTGTTCCCAACCTCCCTTTGTAAACACAGTCCCTGATATAAACACAGGTCACACACCCCGAGATAAGTCGCACTTATCTCCATGGTATCGGCCACGGAGATCAAACATCCAGTCAACAGCAAAGTTCTTCAATACCACTTTATATTGTGGGCCGAGCCAGCTTTTGCCTATATACAATAAATCAAAAGGTCGTTTTCTATATAATTCCCAACAGCGTCACCCACCAAACAAAAAACCAGGTTCTCACTAATGCTCTCAGATCTGTTTCTGGAGATGATGCATCCCGTAATGTCCAAACAAACGCCTACGCCCAGATGCCGTGGCTTGATATCATTTCGCTACGCTATGATTCAAGCAGGTGCAACTTGTGACGGCTGCCTCTAGTATATACCCTGTGTCCGGTATTGGTATGTGTCGTATCTACCAGAAGGTTAGTAAGTTATATTTGGAAGTGGAGAGTGTGGCCGTACAATCGTGTATAATAGCTTCCTAGCGACTTGGCAATCAAGTCTGTCTCAACAAACTTCTCCGCCTCGTCAGCACTCAACTGGAGCTGGAACCGTTGGCGCAGCATATTTGTGGCCTGGAGAACACCATATTGGAAACATGGCATTTTGGAGCCGTGGCCCATTAGGCTGACGAGGTCAATGATGTTATCTGCAGAGCGTCGTAGAGCTGCCTATGATCAGTACTGGACCTTCAAATCACTGGAGTAATCATACCTTGGAAAGCTTGCTTGCATAACACCTTATAATCCTGGAACTCTGCAGAGTTTACTCCCCCCAAGACATCCACATAATCTTGTGTGAGCTTAAATGGAGCCGCCTCGAAGCCGACCGATCCAGGAGAATTAGACAACATAAATCCGAAGTCAATGTGAACAATATGCCCCTCGTTATCGATGAGGACATTGCCGTTATGTCGATCCTTGAGTTGCAGGACATACGAGATGATACTGTATGCCGCAAGTGACCGCTTGAATTCCGTGGCGGCTGCCTTGTACTGCTCCCCCTCTGGGTCGCCAAATGCCTTTATAAAATGGTCACGTAGTGTGGCTATCCTGCCTCGTGGGTTGTTTCCGGCTTCAATAGTCGCCAGTGTCAAACTGCGCTTGATTGAATGCAAAGAGACACCATTGGTAATCGTTTCGATAAGGCCAGAAGATTCACCCGTCACCAAAATACGCATCCGCTTGACCCACACAGGAGTGCCAGCATCCTGCCATATTTTATCACAAACTTGAATCAGCTGGCAAGCAAACGCTTCTTGCCTCAGATCATCTCCAGTCTTCACGATGACACTGATGAGATCCCAATTCGACATCCAACCATATGGTGAAGACTTTCTGATGCGTTCCTTTTTCTCCGACCAAGCCTCACCGAACATGGCTGCACTTGGATCGTCCCGGTCTCCCTTTCTTTGCACACCACCGGTTTTCTCATCGTTCTCCATTCGGGCAGCGCCAGCTCCAGTGGTGACCAGTTCCAGCGCTAGACCTTCAACATCTTCATCATCGTTGTTAACCGGCGCTGCATTTGCGTTGGCCATTATCGTATCGAAAGTGGGTGTATCGTGGTTGCCAAAACTTTGCTCCTCCAAGCTTTGCATACTTGCGATAATTTTTGCTCGGATGGCATCGACTTCGCTCCGCGGCCGCTTGCCACTCGTGGATTCCAGTTGTGTCAGCATTTGGGCCGCTGTTCGGATGTGAGTCGCCAATGCTGGGTAGTTGGGTTGGTCCGAACCGCTTGGTCGGCTGTGGAGAGGTAGGGTCGACTTTCGGGGTTGGCCCGGGCTGTTTGATCCAGAGTTGGAGGTTCCAGACGTCCGTGGTGTTGGATGCGAAGAGGTTATTGATTGGACAGTGGATTGTGTGGCTGTCGAGGGACTGGATACTGTTGAGGTGCTTCTAATGAGGTCTGGCACCGCCGGAATGTGCCCTTCATCTTCCCCTTGTATCGCAGGAGATGTTCCAAGGTCACCCTGAACTGGTTCAAAAACACTGTCAGGTACTGACTTAGGTTGCTGGGCCTCAACAGTGGGTAGTCGTGGTGCATCTTGAAGGTCAAATATCCGCCTTCTACTTGTGCCCTGCTCTGCAAGGAGCTTCTTCAATAATGCATCGTTTTCTGACGCTTCAGGGTCGAACGTGAAATCATCCCGTAGGACCTCCACCATTAGGAGATACGGAACTTTTTCGGCACTGTTCAGAACAGTGCATTCAGTAGGGTTCAGCCGAACAATTCTGTGATGCTTGCTTTTGCTTGGAACCCCATCAACGAGAGTCGCCGGGCATATGACCGGGATATCAACCTCTGCTGGCAGATCTTGAGCGATCATAACGAGCTCGGCGCGTAAAGCGCTTAGCCGGGCCGCCTTCGGTACCATTATAAGCCGAGTGGAGATGTTTTCCAAGGCAGTCAAAAATTGGATCTCACTCCTAAAGTAATTTTGCCGAAGAAGCTTTCCTTTCTGACGGGTATTGAGGACCGAAGGGGATAACGGCCTGACCTGGTGGGTATGCCGCCTATGTGGTATATCTGGCCGTGGGCCAAATCGGGCAGAGAGCGGCGTGAGAGGGCGGGCCACAGATTTCGGTGAGCTTGGCTCTGGTAATGGCAAAGATATCGTGCTCGATTGCGCATCTGGAGGTTGTAATGTAAATTGTGATGGCCGTTTCGTGCTTCGATCTAGGGCGGATTTGCGGGTTGACTGTGACGATGGCGGCCTAGCCTCCAATGATGCTCCTCGAGGGGCTTTTGTGTCCGATTCTCCTCCCACCCTCGTGTCAGTGGCGCTCGCTGCTCTTAGGGAATCCCTCGGCCTCCTTTGCCGGCTTCCACTCCCTGCTACCGTATGGCTCCTTGCTAATTTTTGCGTCTGGCTTGAATCCGATACAGTTGCTTCACTTTCTTGCGGTTTTCGCGCCTGTGATATCGCCAGTGGTCCAGCCCATCTGGGAAGCCCAGGCATGCCGATGCTGGCCAGTACAAAACTTGCCAGAACCGTGACGGGCAACGTGTTCTCCTTAATTTTCTCCACCCGCGCCGTGTCCGTCACGCCGAAGACGATCCGCTGGACTTTGTTGTATATCCTCCTGCATGTCTTGAAAGCCGTCGATTGAGGGTTGCTCGATAAATCGTGAAGGTACGTTTGGAAGAGCCAGAAAGTCTACTTCCAGTCAGTCGCGCGTATTGAGGGGTAAAGATCGGGGGGTTGACTTGCAAGCAACGCGCCATTCACAGATTCTTCGCATAAATCCAAAATAAACTCTTCCAATGCCATCGACTCATTGTCCAGACTTATTATTAGGTGGCATAGTTGTGGTAAGAAGAACTCAATCTCCTCATAACTGAACTGGCGCAACTTCGAGCACAGGACGTAGGTAATTCCGACATGATCCGCGTATCGTCTGGTTGGGGAAAATCAGTCAGAGCTGCTATCACTGAAAAGCCAATTGCGGGGGCACTTACGAAAGATATGCTACGGAGAGGAAGGGGTTTTGGTTAAAGACATCGCTCTCGATGAACCGCTTCAGCAAATCCCAAGACATCGGGCTGCCAAATTAGGAACGGGGAGGGGGTACCGAGAGGCCAGATGCCTCTACTATCTTTAACATCCACAACTGAGAGGTAAAGCAAGAAGTAGCATCCCCGACTTTGGGCGTAATATGAGCTCGATGGGTTGGTAGGTAGACTTCCGAATGAGGGCCTAGGTAAGGATACGGGGAACGTTGCTCGGATTAAAGTTGCACCCTTGCCGAACGTGAAGGTTTTAAGTTTTGGTGGTACCAGAGATATTCATGCATGAGCCGTGCACTTTGGTGATGATGACCTTACCTGGCCTTTCCATTTTTGATAGCCATTTTTTGGGTCAGGGTCCACAACATACGTAAATTTGTTATTAGGAATTTAGAGGGAAGTTTATGTTATAAGTGATTGAAAGATTGAGCCTGTATCTGGGACATTATTTCAGGAATTGTTTACGTATCGCGCTCTGGTGCCGACAACGGCGGCTTCGGACTAAATTACGCAGAAACTCGAGTGATTATAGGCATACAATACTTTAAAAATGCGGCTCATCAGCCCTACTATAATATGAGCTGTATCTTAATGCTAAAAAAAAAGGGGATGATCGGATTCTTGAGAATCTCAGGGGCTAAATATCCACATATCCACATTAGAAATCGTGCTATCACCTGATTCGGAGTAAATATTTCCCATGCCGGCTTATCTTATCCACCCAAAGATGGAGAGCCCACTTTCTATTTTTGGAACTTCTGAACTCCTGTGTTACGAGTAATTGTGAGATATTTGAAGTCGTAGTCTGGTTGGTAAGCACAAGTCCTATGCCAACTCGAACACAAACTTACATCTGAATAGATCCGTTGGTGAGGTGTAAAAGCACCATGCAATCTCTTGAAGGCCTCCGTTCCGGAGAGTATCGCGGCACCAAGCGCCTCAAGATCGCATCTGGAATTGCCACGTTCCCCCGGGAAATCTTCAAGCTCTCCCGATCGCTGGAAATCTTAGATCTCTCTGGCAATTCTTCCCTTTCAGAACTCCCATCTGATTTCGGCCGCCTGCACAATCTCAAGATCGCCTTCTTCTCAGACTGCAGCTTCACCGCTTTCCCAAAGCAGCTGGCGGAATGTCGTTCGCTCGAGATGGTCGCCTTCAAGGGCAATGGCATGAAGACGATTCCTGAGGGCTCGCTTCCTCCGAATCTGAGATGGTTGATCTTGACGAATAACCTCATCGGTGAGCTACCTCGTAGCATCGGGCAATGCCACCGTCTTCAGAAGTGCATGCTGGCTGGAAACCAACTCAAAAGCTTGCCTGAGGAGATGGCTAATTGCAAGAAACTTGGCTTGTTACGTCTATCGGCAAACAAACTGGGAGAGCTACCATTGTGGCTCTTTACTATGCCGGAGTTGTCGTTCATGGCGTTTGCTGGCAACCCTTGTCTTCAGACCGAGACTGTTATTGACAACCCCGTGCTCAGCTTGGTTGCTTGGGAAGAACTGCAGATCAAAGAGCTTCTTGGAGAAGGCGCATCTGGCGTTATTTCACGTGGCCTTTGGACCACAAACGCCGACAGCGAATCGAAGCAGGTGGCCGTCAAGCTTTTCAAGGGCGAGGTCACATCTGATGGGTCGCCAATTGATGAAATGGCAGCCTGTATGGCGGCAGGCACGCACTCGAATCTTATCAGCACGATTGGGAAGGTTCACGGCCATCCCGATGACCAGCGCGGGCTGGTGCTCGAGCTCATCCCTCCCCACTTCGAGAACTTGGGGTTGCCTCCTTCGCTCCAGACATGCACACGCGACAACTTCACACCTGGGAAGTACTTCACGATTCAGAAGTGCAAGAACATTCTAGTATCGATTGCCTCAGCAGCCGCACATTTGCACAAGAGTGGTATCACACATGGCGACTTGTACGCGCATAACATCCTGATTGACGAAGCTGGGCACGCGCTCCTCGGGGATTTCGGTGCTGCCACGGTATACAGCAAAACACATGTGCACTCTGAAGCTATTGAGAAGCTCGAGGTGTACGCATTTGGCCACCTCATAGAAGATATGCTCAGCCTGCTCGATCCCGAGGTCTTCGGCGAGAAAGAGGCATTCATAGAGGAGGAACTGAACGAACTCCATTACCGCTGCACGAGGCCGGTGGTGGAGGAAAGGCCATTGTTCCAGGAGATACTGGAGGAGTTGAACGGTTTATAAACTGGATTTTAGACTAGACATAGAAGCTTGGATATATTGGGATTTGATTGGGTTGGAATTATGTGGAACTTGTTTGGAATCGGCACACGTATAGAAAGAAGTATTTGGACTACATTGATAGATAAGAGAGCGTTTTGGTAGCAGTAGAGCGAACGGTACTGATAGAGAAGACTAAGGGGATTAATAGAAATATTGGATTATTATTTTGTATGATCTATTTTCTGAATACTAGTACGGCAAAAATCGTCAGAGACACCTTGAATAATAGTCAATGTTAACAGTGACTATAACTAGAACAAAGATTCTCAGTAACGCAGGGCTATATTGTGGCCATAAAGGCCCTAAAAAAGCTGGCGTTTAAATAAACGGCAACTAAAATAAAGGTGGTTTTTTAGTCAAGACTATAATTATCATATCATGGTTATATTATGACGTTTTTAAAGAGTCATAAATACAGTCAAAGGGTACATTTCGTAATAATAAAGAACTAATATTTATTTCCAGCCATCTATGGACCCCCTTTAGACTCTCTAGTGGCGCGAGTAGTTGTCAGTGTTCAATAAAGCAAGCCAGAGCATGGGGAACCCAGCCAACACATCCCCAACCCCATCCCCCCAACAAACCAAACAAACCCAAGCCTTATAAGCCAACTGTAGCCATCTTTAAATCAAGCGGCACAGTGGCGCAGTGGAAGTACCACTGTCTGGACAATCTGGCCAGGGCAAGGAAATGAATAAAAAAGGTCACCAATTCGACTTCCAGCAACCGACAACAAATAAAAAAATATTCTTAATCTAACTCTACAAAGTAAAATCAAGTGATTTTCTCCTCATCAGATCTCAACATGAGATTTGGTGAGTCTTTTGCACTTTTAACTTTTTGAATATCGTTTGTATGGGGTGTTGTGCCTGATACGACCAACCATGGTTGGGGTGCGGAGTTATGGTCCACTCACACTTATGACAGCGGGCGCCATCGCAAACCTTACGATGCAGACGCGGCCTACTCTGACTTAACGTATGACTTTAGTATATTAACACTTATGGCGTGTAAACCAAGGGTTTGAATCAGACAGGCACGGGAATCATAGTCTGTCACAGAGGCAGGCACCTACATTCTTTACAACCCCCAGAATTCGTATTCCATCCTTCCCCTGCCGCCCAACATCCAAACCAGTTCTCATATTGATACTAACCACAGTTTTCGAAAACGATATACTTTGATTTTTAAAGAACGGAACTGGAGAGAGAGGCATCATGCCTTTCACTCCGACGATCTTCTCGACGTCATACGAGTTCCCTATCCTCAGTCCTCCAGATGTCTCTCCCGGCACTCGTGTCGTGGGGATTTGTGGAATATCTTCCGTACACGACGAGCATGGAGCCGTCCCGTCAGATCCATCTAAAGACGGCTGGTATCATGCTCAGTTCTATCTCTTGCATCATTTATTGGCGGGGCAAGGCGTCCAACAGAAATGGATAACTTCCGTCGCTCCTAACCGTATAGTAGATAACTACAGCCTGCTCACATATCGTAAGACTCTCTTCTCTGCAGAATCATGGAATAGAGAAGACATACTGACATAGAGGCAGCGGATATAAAAGGAACCCGCAGAATTGTTCTCGATAGGACTATGATCCAACGTGGATATATGAACGATGTGAAGGTCGTCAACCCCAAATCCCTCCGGGATGAGCTCAAAGACACACTCGATATCGAGGTGCAGGATGGAATGGAATGCAGAGAACCCATTTTGATAATACTGATTGGGCATGGATCCATGAAACACGGAGGGATCCATCTTCACAACCACACCTTCAATTCGGATCAATTTCGCCTTTGGACTATGGGCGCTGTCGACGCCGGGCTAGTGACGCCTAATCCATTCTCTGGTAGGGAAGGAGGCTGGTTGGTCGTACCTTCGCGCCTTCTTATGAATCGCCCACTGAACCGTTATCCATTCACTCAGCGTCGCCTGGCGGACGAAGGTCGAGGTAAAACGTGTGGGAGTGTGTGGATGATCGAAGTCCTGAGCTCGCCAGCCTTCAAGGAGCTCACGATCCCTAGGGATCCCGGCGACAAGAGAATGGAAGAGAGACTTATACCAGAGTTGATTAATGCTGTATATGATTCACTCATAGGCGGACGCGTCAAATGCTGGGGGGTAAATTTCGATCCCGACACCGATGCATGGGAAATAGACTTTGACAAACGCCGGGGCAACCCACTGTACAAGTTGGAAGAAGCCTGGTACTCCCTCCGCAGCCTCTCTCCATATGGTCAACCCTCAGTGTCTTCGTCTTCTCTCCTGGCTCTGCCCACCAATCCTGTCGGTAACGAGCTTCCTGCGGAATTGCTCAACAGGCTGGAAAGCCTGGCGGGGTCTTCTCAGTCTCAACAACCAGCACACTACACTGTGTCAACCCGTCGAAAATTATTGCCACTTATCGACGCATACCGACGCTCTCTGCCAGGCTTGGCAGACGATCAGTCAGAAGCACTGCTGAGTGCGTTGATCCATAAAGTAGAGAATAACCCAGATTGCTGTCTCTCCCGACTCCACAGGGTGACCGCACACCTCGAGTACCGCTTTCGCCTCATGGAGCTCGCCGATCGCTATGTCTCCTGTCTGGATCTACAGGAACAAGGGCGCAGCTGCAACGGCTTCGATATAGAGAAATGGAAGAGAGAACAATCGCGTGAGCAGGTGAATCGGCTCAAGGAGGTTGTTCGAATATTGGCATCGAGGTTTGTGTTTCCGGCGACTATTTTGGAGAAGCAAGGGAAGGTGTTCCCAAAGCCGTGGGAGTATCTTGCCATGGTAATGATGGAAAGGGGAGGTACCTCACGCGAGTTTGAAATAGATGTTGAGGTGATATTAAATTGTGAGTAGTTGCATCCCAAGAAGTTGAGACAAAGATACTGACAGAACTCAGTTCGCAAAGACAGGATACGAGCAGCTACGATGGCTGCTTTGAAAAATAAAAGAGTTGAAGAAGCCATGAGAAAGATCGATCGGCATATTAAAGATACCCTTGAAGATGATAGCGATGGCAGAGCCAGCTTGTTCGATGGCGATTTGTGGGTGATTGTTCAAAAGGATTAAATCAGGATCGAGCGTTGATTATAAACTGGAATGAATGTTGCCGAGGTGTACAGCGCCTGATATATTTTGTTCAATATAGCTTACGACATTAAAGCAACAAGCAAATTGGGGGTTGATAGATACTATATAGGCTATACATTTACTATAATAAAGTCTTGGTATATTCTACAAATCAAAGCAATCTGTGACAGTCTTTAGTCTAATATTGAGATCCGTCTTATTTCGTTGCGCCTTGAACGACCTTGTTCCGGAACCGAAGACAAGAAAGACAACGAAAACAAGGTCTTACAGAGCCTTTTCAAAAAGCAACCGGTAAGTGAACTTTGCTAATATATCGTTGCCATGGATTCTGCTGTGGAAGGTCACAGAGATGCTGGAAGCGCTTAGATGTTTTTCTCCTTTCCAAGACAACCCAATTGTCAAAGCAGCCTGCGTCAACAATAACACGTTATACTGCCCCTTGAACCCACCACAATGGGCTCCATAGGGTAACTCTGATTTCACTTTAAATTCTCATGATACTTACCAATCTTGTGTCCTACTTTAATCTCATTTTGTGTGCCTTTCCATTCTTCATATGGGTTACTTCGTCACGACGAGGAACTCGTAGTACGTTCAACAACCTCGTTCAAAACAAACACTTCCTTCCAAGGAAGCTGACCAAACAAGCTATCAGAAGCCCGAAGCCGGGTCTGAGGTTAAACCCCTTCCAGTTCCAGCTTCTAATGACACAAATTCCTTCTATTCACATCACCGGACACCCTCTCCTGATATAAACAACACGATTACCCATCATGGCTTCTCAACCCAACAGCCAGGTGGCCAAAGATGAGCACCCCCGCCACAAATGGACAGACTTCGAAGCAACCGTCCTCATGAACCTGATCATCCGCAACATCCACAGAACCGGCTTAGAAAAAGACGAATTCTCCAAGCTCTCCGACTCCACTGCTCCGCGCCAAAAGGGCCGCAACTCTCGCAGAGCCAAAGAAGTGGCCGATCCAGACAAGTTAAAATACGTGGATGTGGCCACTGCTTTGAATCGAGCCCTCCACAAGTCCGACTATACACATGATATCCCTGTCGAGGAGGTAGAGAAGTTACTTCACTTCTTCCTTCGTGATAGGAAGGGTGCCATTGCCGTCATCGATAGACAGCCCACGGCGAGACTGACGAGATCTACCCACAAAATCTGGATCCGCGGTCTCAAATTCCTTGGAACCAAGGCCGAATGGGACAATGGCAGAAAGGCAGCCGAAGAGGTCAAGAGGCGCGAAGACCAGGAGAGACGCCTGAACGTTGGTAACGCCGGAGCTATAATTTCTGGTGATACTGGTGCTGGGGTCGCTGATGGATGGGGTAATGATACTGCTCCTGCGCCATCAGGGGATGGATGGGGCACCGAGGCAAATGAAAATAATGGAGATGCTTCTGCTGCCGCCAGTGCTTGGGGTGATGCTATGGAAGTTGATACTCCGGCCAAAGCAGCAAACAATCCGAAGGCGAGCGATGAAGGCTCCGGCGCCAAAGCCAACTCTGGAGCATGGGGCTCGGGTGCTGCTGATTCTTCTAAGACAACTGTTACTAATGCTGCAGACCCATGGGGCGCGGCTGCTGAGACCACTGTCGAGTCCAACTCAGCCGCAGCTGCGTGGGGAGAGCCCGAAGTCTCGAAGAAAGTCGTTACCACCGTCGTTGCAGCTGCTACAGATTGGTCCGTCAATGAAGACCCTTTTGCAACCCCACTCCCCCCAAGCCTGAGCTCCGCAGTGAATAACGCGACCGCATCGTCAAATGCATGGGGAGTTTCTGGTACATCCAATGTCACGAAAGTTCAAACCGTGACCGACTCCGATCCCTGGAACAAAACTTCTGCCAGTCGCACCGATCCAGTTTCTGAAGACACAAGCAATGCTTGGGGAGCCATTACAGGCACTTCAACGAATGGATTGTCTTCTACGACCACAGAGGGCATCGGTAAAACAGCAAATACCGCAGCCGACCCATGGGGCATCAGCACTGAATCTGCCATCCCTTCTCTTCGCAGCACTGCGAATACCACAGCCGACCCATGGGGCGCCAGCACTGAACCTGCGCTTCCTTTTCTTCAAAGCACTATGGATACCACAGCCGACCCATGGGGAGCCAGTGCTGCAACTTCTGCAATTCAACCGTCTGCCATGGACTGGGGCACTGAAGTTTCCAATGTGGCTCCTGCAAATTCCTTCACGACTAAGTCTGCTGAAAAAAACGCTCCAGCTGGAGCCCTGACTGATAAATCAGCTCCAATGAGTTTTGCTGATTCTTGGGGCGAGCCCGTCGCTCATGCAACGAACCTGCCCGCTATTACAGCAGCCGATGGATGGGGGGAGCCTGTGGCTAATACACCATACCAACCTGTTCCTACCACGTTCAATGAATGGAGAGACAATATTGAAAAGTCCCATGGCCATAACCGTACCCTACAAATCGTCACTGCAGCCAAGCTCAATAGCAACGAGGGTGCTTCTACGAACATCAGGGACCATGGTCAGGCTCAGTGGGACAAAACCCTAGCCCCTGCACCACCAGGCTGGGGCCCAACATCAACAACTGTTATGAATCCAGTCGCTATTCCGAGCAATATGCCATTGTGGGCGTCGGCGACCGAGGAAGTCTCCCCACCAAGTGGTATGAACTCTTCGAATGGCTCTCAAAACCCAAACCGTCAGGGCAGCAACTCCGACAAAGCACCCAAAAATTCGGTTCAAACTGTCCAAATAGCCGTGGCGGGGATCAACCCAGACCGCCTTGCGATGCTGGCTGCAGCCGAAACTGACGACGATGGGGCTTCCGATTTGGAAACGACTGCAGATGGAGGATATAGCCGCGGAAAGAAAAGTTTCGGATCTTCAGCTACGTTTGGGTCTAAAGACAACGCTATTCCCCTGAAGTTCAATAGACTGGCTGGAAAATAAGCTGGAGCTGAAGGCGTTGAGAAAACGTTTGCTGGCGGCTATACTACCTGCAAGAAGCGTGCCGCTGATTTCTTGAATCCCACTATATTGTGCGTGAAGGAGGACTATATGGGTTTTCTGCCGTTTATATGAAACTTCGCTGTTTGCTTCGGCCCTGAAGAATCAGAAAGATGCATGTTACGATGAATAAGGAGACGGAATTTTGCGCGGGGATGGGATGCAGAAATAGCCAATATTAACTCAAGTGGCTTCATAGACTGAAATGAAAAGATATTTCAAAATTGGAAGTTTTACATTAAAATGTGTGATTCGCGGTTGGTTGTACGATACTCAAACTATGGTCCCTGATGCAACGAGGGGGATATGCAAGCCAAGCTCAAACAAACGCAAATAAAGGATCCCGTATCCTGCCATAGTAATAATACTTGTGCTGCCCTAAAATTCTAGGTAAGGGGCCGTATACAACATGCCCTGTGAGGGCCATAACCGTAAAAAATATAAAGGCATAACGAGTGAAACTTTGAAAACAACACCTTTGAACCCCGCTGACATTTTTCAAAACAACACAGCTTCAATCCCTTGCAAGTATACAAACCTAACCCTTCAAAGCAATTTAATTTCAAACCTCGACAATCATACCAACTCCAAATCATGCTTACATTCCACTCTATTCCGATCCTGCAGTCGCAGCATTACTATCCAAATCCGCATTCGTCCGCGGTTCAGTACCTGAGCTAGCAGTCGCCGAATCAAATTGGTCTGCGCCGTTCTGCAAAGGCCTCACTATTGGCTGGTCCAGGCTGCGCAGCTCCGACAGTGACGCTGCTGCCCGCGGTACCGATGACGCTGGAAGAGCCCTTCGTCCGTTGAAGCGTGGCAACATAGGCAATTCCATTCCAGGATTACCCATAAATGGCATATCCCATAGGGGTCGGGGAAACACTGGGTAAAACTCTTCCAAGGGGCGAGGCGGGGCCTCGAAGAGGTGAAATCTGTCTTCGTGGACCCCTGCGAGATGTTAGTTTGTGGATAGCGAAGGAGGGGATGGGGAATATGAACATCCAAGGTCATGAGCCATTTTCCGGCGGACTTCATATATGCGTCGGGGCTGGGCCCCAGGATTTGTCATATGGGGATTTTGAGCTAGATACTCAGCCTTGACCGCTTCCCAGCGGTCTTTAAGTCTTTTTCGGTGTCTGCAGTCGCGGAAGTAGGTATACTGGTTGGCTTTTGAGAGAGGGACATTGTCAGGAATGATTGGTAATTCTGTCGCAACGTAAGTTAAGAACCAAAAGAGGACTTGGGAAGAAATCGGTCAACGTACGCACAACCGCCATAACCTGAACGTATCGATTATACTATTGTGGTGCTGTTAGCATTTTCTCGTTTATCGAGGCATCCCGAAACTCACAGTGAGCGTTAGTCCTGGATTAGGTTGTATTGGCCAATCGTGCCTGTCACACAACACGGTGAAGAAATTACCGAGTTCTATCACCGTCATGTCGCTTATGGGTTCATGGGTAATATGATATAAAGCGTTGATGGCTATCCCAGCGAGTTCAAAATCGTCAGGTGCACCCAGGAGGAAGCATCTTACTTCCTCTAGCGAGACGCGGCGGGTAGTTATTCCTTGGCCGTTATATACGGCGATATCGTAGAATATATCCATCATTGATTTGTGTATTAGAGCAAAGACTGGAAAGTTGCAGTTTGGAGGTGTAGTGTTTGGTGATGATAAATCCAATGGCAGGACTGAGAAGGGTATTATTATAAACACAGAAACTCTCACACTAACTGTATTAATTTCCATATGGACTGGATAATTAGACTATTTTAGTTTAGTTAACGCCAAATAAAAAGCGTTTACACTGAAAATATGAGAAGAGTCAGGGGGAAACGAAGCTTACCCCCACAAGTGCATGTTAGACCCAAACTTTATATTAGCTTCGGTAGCTTCACATTAGCCCTGGCCTAGTCCTTTTGGGAATATGGCCTGAATTATCATACCATATATTTAGTGTGTTCCATTCTGTCCAAGTGAGTCACCGGAAGTACGATACGAATACACTATATGAATATTGCGTTTGTTGCGTGCTTGAGGTTTCTTCTGCACCAAATCCTGAAGAGTAAGAGGAAATCACATTTTCTGCATCAGGTTCGCTCACAGCCCAAATCCACAATGAGAATCTTCCACAATTCAGTAGTTCAAACCAATCCAGCTCCAAACCCTGGTTTGGAAGACGAAACAATTACCTTCCGCAACGGAGAGCCCGGGCAAGCCATCGTGGGACGAGATTTTTCAAGACTCTTCGCAGACATCGTGTGTGAACAAGCACGACAGTATATGAACAGCTACCCTGGCAATCATGCATCGCGATGCAATACACCATACCATACCTGGTTTGGGGAGTTAGCACGAGGAGAAATTCAATTCGAAGATGGCCTTGGAGAGGACTCTGACGTTTTGTCCCATCGACTCTCGATGATTAAGTTGGCAACGGAGATGAAAAATTATCTAGGCCTGTCGATTAAAGATGCACATCTATTTGATGTACTTTCATGGGAGAGAAGAATTGTAGCAGAAATGTACTGTAACAAACTTATGAGGGAAAAAGCACCATGGGCACGTTACACGGGCATCGTATCACTGATTCGTCACCCGAATATTTTCGATTCACCGGTCGGTCTCTTCTACACTAAACCCTCGGAATATCTGGCGATCGCTTTCTACGGCACGGGTCGCTCAATGGTACAGATAGCTAGTGATATTGAGAAGCTGGCTTCATGGAGAGCTGGAGAATATGGATCCACTGCTTCAGGACAGGCGCTCCCTGAAAACTTTGCGAGCATAGTAGCCGAACAAGCCAGACAATATTTGGAAAGCTTCCCTGGCAATGATGCATCAGGATGTAATCCGCAGCATAGTTGGTTTCGGCGCCTGGCTGAAGGGCAGACTGCAGATAGAGAGCACCTCCAAGCCTTATTTGATGAGCTACGGTACAGAAATATGCTGACTAGAGTAGCCACGAGGTGTAAAAACTACCTTGGGCTATATATAGAAGATGCCCATCTCTTCGACACCTGGGCATGGTTACAAGAACAAGAGCCGAATGAGCAATGGGATCGCTACTCGAAAATCCACGATGCGATTTTTGATGCATCAGTTTTCGGCCACCCAGCACCAAATCAAGGCTTCTTTTTTGCAAAGCCTACAGAGTATTTAGCAATTGCGTTTGTTAAATCGGACCGGCACATGGAACAAGTCTTTGCTGAGATCAGGAAGCTAGTAGCTTGTAGGTCTTGTCCTATTCCTTAATATAATTAAAACTAACGCTTTAGGCCATAAATAGTTAGAGAATTCGTGAGGCAATAGCAATGGGATTTTCGATTTGGACATGTAGAGATAGTTTGTTATGCTTGCTTAGTTTGGCATCTATTCACCTTCATCGCCTATACAAACTCAAATGGCCAGCCTCTCGGGAGTTGTAATAAATAATTCTACAGCTGGTAATAGAAGCCAATGAGCCTCGCTAGCGCAGCCTTTGCTAAACTGAAGATATTGATCAACCTTATCTTTCTTTATCTTACTTCATCTTACTTTGCCTCACGCTTAGTGAACCTGGAAAGCGCCTGGCTCTGATATCTTGCTTCGGCCTACTAACTTATACACACAAAGGCAGAAGATAAACCCTTACATGAACCTCAGTTTATTCTTGGGAGACGTGCACTTGATCCGACCTGAATATCTTAGTACACAACAAACTCACCCCCAACCATCATCCACACAACTGTTTACGCCCATCAGCCACGCATGTGTTAATTGTTAATCATTTCAAAGACACATCGTTCGACAATATCCGTGCAAACAATGGCAGGATACAAAAGACCTCGTTGCGAGAGTGAAAGTCCCGCGGACGCAGAACAATCGAGTGGCTCTGTGGGGGCTAAGAAATCAAAGAATGCGAATGGCGAGACTGGATCTCCAAAGAGAAAACGCCCTCCCCGAGATCGGGCAGAGGAGCAACTGCTGGACAGACTCGACCGAGAGCAATACGAAGAGGTTATGAAGTTGTTACCAAACAGATTTGAACTTGCATACCGAGAACACTATGCCCGGGAAAAGTTCTGGGACCAGTTTTGTAAGCATTATTTGCACAGCGGGCTATAAATATATATTTCACGTACTAACTTCTTTAGATTCAACAGAGGGACCTGGCACTTGCCCCGAACGTCGAAATCAAACTTTGAATTCACGTGTCCGCAAGATCGTCGAGGAACACCGGAAGTCATGTCCTTGGTATTTCTGGGGACTTGAGGGCTACACTCGCGAGCGGTTCCCAAAAAAGTGGCCGCACTTTTATAAGGATGGAGACGCAGGAGATGCCTCTGAAGACAGCCAGCTACTTTATCCCTGGGACGAACTGAACGCCACGACTGCCAGCTCTCCTGCAACACCTAAGGGAGCAGATAAGACAGGGCTTTGGGACCTCCCATCGAGTGAAATGGAGAAGTCGATTGAAGATGTTAAGCTACAGATGGCGGAAATCAGGACCGTGCTTGACGAGAAAGAAAAAAAAGCTAATGAACTACGGAAAAAGACTGTTGCAATGGTGAATGAGCTACAGAGAAAAACAGTTACAGACTGCGCCAAAATAGAGGCAGAAGCTAGTGAAAAAGTTGACGAAGTGCGTCGAGAAGCTGCTGCACTAACCAACAAAATACAGACAGAGGCAGATGCAAAATTCAATGAAATACAGACAGATGTTTCTAAACTCGAGGAGGCTATGAAAGAGAAGCAGACGGTCTTGGAAGTACAGGAGATTACTCTTGCTGCGAGAAAAGCAAATGATAGCCATGGCAATCAGTAATAAGGCATGGATGGATTAAGCGGTTTGTACGTCGCATGGAGCATACAAAGAGCAATTGGATGACGGGCAGGCAAACAGTTGAGAACAAGAGCCATGCTGAATGTTTGCAGTAGCTGTCTGCAGTTTCTGAAACCTTCAACTCAATTGTAGGACATGCAATGCAATACATCGCCTCATAAATGAATCCCTAAATAACAATGTGCTGTCTAAAGCTTATAATCAAACTGATCCTGCCAGTCCCATATATCACTCCCATATATCGAAAGCTACTCGTGTCGTCTGAAAGTATGAAGAGTGGCTGTACATATAATAACACCTATTACAGTAACTATAATTCAAGCAGAGGTGTTCAATCACTCAGGGGCATGATCAGTAAGATAACTGCTGGCAAATAGAACAAAAGAAATAAGTTCTCTGAGTCTAAATTGCCAGCGTAAATCCTGAGCTAACATGTAGTCCCTCTTCAGACTTCGGGAGGCAGGACTGCCGATGCCGCACGCCAACCACAATAAGCGCCCAACACACCGAGTCGTTCCTTCCTTTCTTATAATATTTGGTGCCAGAAGCGCAATAAAGGTATATCCGCCTCCGATACGTACTGGTGATAGCCACAATTGAAGAATAAACAATGGAGGAACAAACAATCCAAGAAACAAACCCCAACCACACCAGACTTCAAATATGGAGCCTCCACCCTCGCCCACGCGAAAGAGAAAAAGACCAGAGTCTCAAGATGACTTTGATGAGAAGATTGCCAACTTGTCGTTGGATGATTTTCCAACACCTCCAGGGGTGAATTCATTTGGTGGAGTTTATGGCCAGAAGTTCGCTGAACCCCATGATGATGCATCTGCGGGACCCTCCAAGGAGAACCAAATCTCAAAGAAAAGAGCACCTATCAGCAAGGAAGAAAAGATGGAACTCTACTGTCTTGACCATACATACTTCAAAGCTCTGTACGGTTCCAAAAGCTATCAAGAGAATGAATGGCCTGCTCACCTGTACTGGTGCCGCCGAAAGTTTTGGGAGCATTACTGTAGGTTGTCTTCCTTCCAGTATATTTAAACAGTGCTTATTGTTACCGTCTACACAGACAGGGCCCATCCAGATCAAATCTACCCAGAGCCTCCCCAGTCTCCCGAAAACCAGATGGCGATTCTCCGCCGAGAATACGCCAACCGCCCACCATGGTGGTTCCCCAGCTTCCCCAGCATCGAGACCCGCGCCAAATACCCCACAGCTTGGAAGCACTACGAGAAAGACAACCAACAACCGGCATCCCCAGCTAAACGCGATCATGAGGAACGCGACCTTGAGGAACGCATTCTTGAGGAACACGCTCAATTGGCAAAGACAGCTTGGGAGCTGATGACCAACGAGCAGCTCGAGGAGCTCTTGCACGAATCAGAAGCCTACTGCAAGACCGAGCGAGAGAAAATCGGCGCAACCACGGAAGTCATCATGGAGTACAGCCAGGCGATTCTAGACATGAAGAAGCGCTGTGGACGCTGGCAAGCGAGAGTTGACTATGTCACCACCCATGGCATCCTTCGAGTGAAGGCTTTCTTGAGAGCCCGCTTGGAAAGAGAACTTGTTGCCGATGAGAAAGAACCAGAAAGAAAGAAGAGACGCACTGACTGAGGCACTCTTTACTATTTTGTCTTTTGAAGAATTTGAAGGGAGTCGGATTTCTCATCAAGGACGGAAAGGGGTACCACGTGACATTAGAGTGTGGATTTGTTGTTGAAGAAATGACAGTTCTTGTAAGATAGAGTCACATGGAGGATTACCATGGATAGCTGGTTTGCGCATAAGTTGTTTTTTAAGTCATGGGAAGTCAGTCAACGTTATAACGACAAGGAGATGGAATTCACCACGTGACGAGGCCGTCGAATGGCGCGCTGGGCTGTATGGCTGTATTGACCCTTTGTTTTTTTTCCTTTGAACGCGCTTTTGCACATCAGTCACGTACATAGCAAATGCACAATCACAATCACAATCACTGAAGCACTTGAGACAAATAAATGTCGTCACCACCAATGCTATTGCATGTTCTCCCGCCGTAGCGTCCACGCCCCCCCTCACCCCACCCTTATGTACAAACATCCCCCAAGTGGTGCCGCCAGCCAGTCAGCCGCCCTACTAACGCCTCACTCATATCCGTATCCATATACCCTCCCCCCCGCCTCCCTATCCATGCTATGAACCAGCCATCGTAGTTCAGAAAAATAAAAAGCTCCAATGCAACCCACCGCCGCCGCCTGCGCAATATTCACTTCTCTCGTTATGTAATGATGTGAAAGTGCAAGGGGCACAGCAATGCAATTATCCCGCGAGCCAGCACCTCCCAAATGCAAGCTAATGATAAGGTATCCTTTCGTAATAGTAGTGCCTCCCTCCCCCCAAAAATAAACTCCCGGGCGCCCTCGTCTCTGCTCAGCTTGTGTGGCGGAGTGGGAGCCGTGGTGGGCGTGGGCAGCAAAAAAAGTGTGGAACAAACGCCCCGCCGCCATTCCTCGTTTCGCATTAATTCAGCACCGTGTCCTCAAGATAGGACGGCGTGCTACGCCATCATCGACAGTTCGTCGTCGTCGTCATCACCCTCCAGACTCTCGATTGCGCTCTTGATCTGCTGGCTCGCCTGTGTACGTCGTTAGTGGTGCCTTTGGAGACACGGGGAGATAAGTTGAAACATACCTTTGGATCCAAGTTCAGCGCAATCGTGAAGTGCCTCACGGCAAGTCCCTTCTCTCTCATTCCCTTGTACAGTCTCCCGAGCAGGAAGTGAACCATTGCTTCATCCGGCGCCATATCCTTGAGAACCATCAGTTCTTGGAGCGCAACTTGCATCTCCCCAATAGCCATCAGTGCACGCGCTTTCTTGAACCGCATGAGCGTGTTCCTCGGCGCCAGCTCCGTGGCTTTGGTGAAGAAACCCAGTGCGCGCCTTGGCTCTTTCTGTTTCTCCAGAACTGTGCCGATGCAGCCGATCAGCACAGCATTGGTGGGGTTGATGATAGATGCGGCGGTGTAGTGGGTGAACGCCTTATCGTAGCTTCCCTGCTTCTCATAAACACGACCGACACCGTAATAGGCGTTGTAGTGGCGCTTGTCAGCTGCCATTCCATGTCGGTACGCCGCGAGTGCCTTGTCGTACTCCTCATTGGCCACATGCTCGTGCCCTTGCAATGTGAAAGCATAAGCAAACTTGGGATTCAGCTGCGTCGCGCGCTTGAAGCATCGCAAAGCTTGTTCGTGCTCTCGTGCCAAAGACCAGGCATTGCCCAAAGCACACCAAGCGTACGGAGAGTGCCAGTCGGCATCGATCAACTCGTGTGCGAGGAAAGACAAGTCTGTCTCTTTCTTGAGATGCCACAGGATGGTTGAGTAGACTTCCATATCCTCAAACCTCGTGGGTGCCATTGTCCGTATCTTCTTGTAATAAGTTTCGGCATCGGCGTAAGCAGCCTGCTCGTAATATGCCTTGCCCATTTGCGTCAAGACCCAAGGTGTGTCCTGTTGCGCGCGTGGCAGTGAACTGTATACTTGCAACGCTTCCATGCACTCATACCGTGATAGAGCGAAGTATCCAGTGCCCAACTTTCTGAATAGCTCAAGTAACCATCTTAACGCTTCTTCTTGCCTTGCTGCTTCGTTTTCCAACGATTTCTCAGGGGCAGCTGGTGCGCTATTTGCATGGTGTGCTCGCCGAGGAGGGTACTCTTTTTGATCAATGTCCATTTCTTCCATTGGCTTCCTGTTCCCACTGACGACACGGCCAACCGTAGATGCACTCGACCCGGGCCTCATCATCCTCGATATTGGCGGCCTCGCTTTCTTCAACTCTCGCGGTTGGTTTCCAGTTCCCGTGGATGCGGAGGCTGCCGTGGACTTGCTGCTGACGGGCCTTATCTGATTGAAAAGCCTGACGCTTCTCCGTTGTGGCGCACCAGGATCTTCTGGTTGAGTCTGCCGTGGCTGAACAACTTGTCCAGAAACAGTTCGTTTCCTTTCAGGGACCAACAAAGGTAAGCCCGGTGGCCGTAACGAGCTTTGTAAGGACCCTTCTAAAGGAGCATCTCTTTGCGTATCAACTTTCTGTGATCGCTTGACTGGGACCCCACCACGGTTCATCTTTGGCGGTGCCTCCATACCGTAATCACCAACCTGCTGGCGACTCCTCCGTACTGGGGCTTGCGGAGGCTCGACAGGAAACGCTGAGACAACACCTGGCTCTCTTCCCATGGGTACAACACTCACATCCATTTGCGAGGTGGGCCCAGTTGGTGTTTCCATCGTATCTGGCCCGAGTCCCCCTCCACCAGCTGTGGGTAAATGAGAGATGTTCATACTGCTCTCATTGACCTTTTGTGACAAGCCAAATAAACCTCCCCCATAGCTTCGAGGCTGCGCGGTATTAAAAGGATCTGCCATGTCTGTTGCTATTGGCGCCGACCGCGCCGGAGGTTTGGTTTGCGTCGAATCGCTGAACAATCCGCCGCTGAGCCCTTGACTGACACTTGCTTGTGACGACACTAAGTTCTCCGGCTGCTGTGCGCCACTCCGGATCACAGCCTCCATCTCTGGGCTCATCTTGAAAATATTTGGCACCAGAACAGTTGCTCCCATATCGCAAAGAATTGTAAACGCATCCCACATGAACGGGTTCAGTTTGAGGGCCTCCTCCAAGTAATTAATAGCCTTCTTCTTGTCGCCATATCCGTGGTATAGTTTGCCCAGAAGGCAGTTCACAGCCGCCGCGTCAGGTAACGGGTTCCGTGAATATTGATTATGTTTTCCGAAGCTATTCCTTCCGCCCCATAGCCCCCGGCTCTTCTCCAAAGCTACTATGCCATCCTTGTGACGTTCCAGCGACAGCGAAGACTGGGCGAAAACATACGCACACCCTAAGTGTGTTCCTCTCGACCCGCCAGCTTTACTGTACTCGTACGCTGACTTGGTGTCGCCGAGTCGGAAGTGACATAATGCCAGGAGGTATTGTGATTCAGAGGATCTGTGGTCGAACGCAACCAGTCGTTCGGCGAGGAATAGGGCGTTCTTGAGGAGGTTGTTATCGATGTGGTAGTGTATTAATTGCCTGAGTTGGTTCGTGACGCAGGTATTCGAAGGCGCCATGCCGGCGCTGTGCAAGAAGCTCAGGATAGTATCTATATGTCTCTTCTATGTGGCCATGGGAGTCGTCAAGTAATAATACTTGGAGGGTCGTAGTATTGGCGGAGGTTGTTCGAGGGACGCCGAAGTCCCAGGACAAAGCTACCGGAGTGAAATGTAGCTGCGCCTGAGCTACCGTTTTGACAAAGACGTAATCGGGTTCGACGAAAGGGTCGTTAGCTTGTAGTGTTGAATAGTGGGAAGGGTGGCATCGGTCGGTGACATCGACGGGTTTGTTTGGCGACGGTTGGTACCTGTGAGGCAATAACGAACGGAGGAACGAGTGATGCCGAACAAGAGGTACGACGACGGACGCAACACTATTCAGTGGCTTTTCGGATATTATATTCAGCAATAGTAGTGGCTATTATCGGAGCGCACTCGAGGAAGATTGATTGCTACACTTTGAGGAGAACGGCGGCTTCTTCTCAGGTGTGTCGCGGTGTTGTTGTGCACCTGCTTTCAGCGCTTACCATTCGTTGGCTGCTTGCGGTCCAACCCAGCAACGGCGGTGTGATTATGTAAGCCGCATCCTTGACAGCTTGGGCTTTTCGGGGTGCGGCACGCCAAGCTATTACCCTTAGCCGCGCGCTCTTGATCTAGCCTCACTGGAAAAGGATTTACAGCAGTTGCTTACGACATCGATATTGAAAGATTCCGAATATTTGAAGCTGTGTGTGGAAGATAATTGCCGTCTGCGGAATGATATATTTCTGCCTTAATATTTAATACTACGCCAAATACAGCTGGAAACGGGGTAATATTCACTCCTTTCCGCCTTTACGCCCCAAGCCTCACACTCGGCGCCACACAACAAACAAACTCGCCGCACACCGCATCCAAAACTTTCGCCATGGCTGGCAAAGCGCGTAAAGATCTTGCCAAGGCAAACGTGGCCGCACTCTCAACCCTCCATATCGGCAGTCTCGTCTTCAATGGCGCCTTCATCGTCTTCAGCCTCATCTTCCGCTCCCGCTCACTCGTCACCTACGCCGTACTGTCCATCCCGGCCTTCGCTTGCCAGTACATCCTCGAGTCCAGCGGTCGCCCAAAGTATACTACGCTGAATGGGAAGTCCAGCCTTAAATCTGCTGGGGAGGACTTGGCCGCGCCGGGACTGACCGAGTACCTCTTCGACGTCGTGTGGGTCACGTGGGCATGCTTATTGGCTGTTCTTGCATTGGGGGACAAGGCATGGTGGCTGTTTGCCATTGTTCCCGTATTTGGGCTGTGGAAGGGCTGGGGACTGATCGGTGCGGCGAGGGGGATGCTGGGTGGTCCTCAGGGTCAGCCACAGGGCGGGGAGGAGCAGCAACAGGCAGCTCCTCAGAACAGAAGGCAGAGGAGGATGGCGGCATGAGAGTGAATGTTCCAAAGTCAATATGTATATAGCATGCATGATATCGAGTGTATGATAATGAATCAATGAGTTGAACCTCATCTGAAGCCATAGCAAATACGGGACAGGGAATGGTGAAATGTGTACTCCGAACTCTACTGGACGCGTGGGGGGATGTTGGTAGGTGCATCCGTATGTTGGCAATTGGAACTACGAGACTTGAGAGATAGACATGTCTTCTTGTATATATATTTCAGACAGCGTCTCCTTGAATATACATTCAGACACAGACTGCTTATACATCTATTTGGGACAGCCGTTGCATATATATTTAGGAGATCAGGACCAGAACAATCTGACGTGCATCGCGGGAAGCCAATATCGGCTACTTTGTTGATCCGGTCCAGTGATTCTCGGCTGTTTCCCCATTTCGCTTGATTGTTCCCTGCAGGAGCGCGACGAAATCACAAAATAACAACCGAAAGAGGACTAGCGTACCCTTCCATTACTGAGTGATTCAAACGCTCACAACAGAAGGAAACACGCTTATATCAATAAGTGCCCATTTCCACCCCCGCTTCTTCTTTTGATCCTTTTCATCTACGACATATCGACAACCCAACAACAAATCCATCTATCATCATCAAACGCGTCTATTTCGACGTGCTTTACCATCAATAAACCACTCACACATCCTCAAACAACTTCATCATGACTGGACGTAAGTAATATCACCCTTCTATTCCGTTTTATCTGTTGTCGAGGGTCCGGTTCATATCAATGTTGTGGTCGGCTCGGGTTGGTGTGATACATGACTTCATTATCACTTCCACAACGCGCTTGAGCCTCAACGCCACCACAACATCAACCCTACCCTCGCAACACATTCAATGAACATCACTGTCCATCGTACAACAAATACTGACGCGTTTTTCTTTAGGCGGAAAGGGAGGAAAGGGTCTTGGAAAGGGCGGAGCCAAGCGCCACCGCAAGATTCTTCGTGACAACATCCAGGGTATCACCAAGCCCGCCATCCGCCGTCTCGCACGTCGTGGAGGTGTCAAGCGTATTTCAGCCAGTAAGTCCCTTCCACAATCACCGTCGCTATTCCACAAATATTAATTGGCAACAGTGATCTACGAAGAGACCCGTGGTGTCCTCAAGACCTTCCTCGAGGGTGTCATCCGTGACGCCGTCACCTACACCGAGCACGCCAAGCGCAAGACCGTCACTTCCCTCGACGTCGTCTACGCTCTCAAGCGTCAAGGCCGCACCCTGTACGGTTTCGGTGGTTAAGCGTTTTCTGTACAAACAAACTCCAATACGCCACACCATCATTCCTCTCCCTCACGATCTCCAACATCTCTTGGCCTCGCTGCGCCCTCAGTGGTTGTGTCTCGATTCAGATATACGTTACTTTTGATAGTCTTCGGACGGTCTAGCATGCTGTTTACGGCAGGGTTTCATCTGTTCTCACATCGAGATGCACCATCTTCAACTACAACCTGATCTGGCTTCGGTTGATGACTTCCACATATTCGTACTTTTGATAGTCTCCGGACGGTCTAGCATGCTGTTTACGGCAGGGTTCGAGTGGTTTCATCTCCGTCGCGTCTCGCTCCTGTGGATCAGCGCGCTCGTGTTCGCGTTATGGACGTCTTCATTGGTGGAGGGGTTTGATGATGGTGGCTTTTTTGCTACTCTGCATTGACTTTTTTAATCGGTGATGGCGTTTATGAAGGCTGTTCAAGCCGTGGATGGGAGGATATGGGCGTCTGGGCCGGTTTATGGCTAGTGTTTTAGAAACACAGATTCAATGAAATTACATGACAAATCATTCTTAATGTGCAATTGCTCGTGATGCTTAAATGTCTGACCCAAGTGCCATACACGACAATCAGTGTTGAACGCAGATATGACCACGAGAAAGGCGTTCTGCCACCATGGCTACGATTGCCATTCTACAGCCATACTGTAGACTTCATGAAGTCAGCTGCTTCAGGACCATTCACAAGGCATCAACGCCCAGTCACTGTCCTGCATTCTCATCACGCCTACTCGTTGAAACCAATAGGCCGAAGAGTCATCCAAGCCTTGCAATGGAAGCAGAGAAACTCGATCTGCTGACATAGCTGGTGCCAGCCCTCTGTCATCAACAATCCCTCTCCGACTTTCGGACAACACGAGTACATCCATGATTACTTGGTCTATCTCGCCAGCTGAAACGCTCCGTCTGGAGTTGGTGTCTGTCAAGTCCTTCTAATTTTCGAGTACGACCCGCCCACCGGCAACCTGTTCATCACATTTGAATCTTTCGGGATCAGGCATTGGTATCAGTATCTACGTGCTCATTCAATATGGACGGAAGATCTACGGTAGCCACCAAACTAATCAACCAGGTTCAAGTCATGTAACAAGAGATATCCTCAACATGCCCGGCACAACCCCAAACGCCACCCAATGCCCCTTCCCCCAACGCCAACAAAACCCAAGCACCCCATCCCACAACCCCCCCCATCACGCCTCACCCGTCCCCTCCATATCCGCCTTATGCTCCTCAGCACACCTCTTCCGATCCAGAAACTCCTCCTCAAACAACCTATAATCATCACTCCCCACACTACTCGTCTCCTCAAACAACATCTCAAACTCCCTCTCATCCTCCTCCTCCCCCACCGCTGGAGGAACCGCCCACTGATGCTCCCTCAACCTCTTATGCCTCTCGCGATCTTCCTCAATTCGCTGCTCTACTAACTTCTTATCAAGCCGCACTCCGCCCGCGTCTCCGCGACGGTCTTCCCACACGCCGTCATCGACATCCATACCCTCCGCCAACTGCGTCGGCGAGCCCCCCGACCCTTCAAGGCCAGGCATCCCGCTATCGCGCTCCTGCAGCAACTCGTCTATCTCCCCCACCGTCTGCGCCTCAAGGTACCCCTTCGCTGCGAAGCTGGCGAGGACTTTCTGCACAACCTTGATATTAGCAGCACCCGACCCGTCCTCAGGCGCCACGGCGTCGACGATGCGCAAGATGTCCCGCTGCATCATGCGGATGTAATCGCGGTGACCGTTGGTGTTGCTTAGGTCCGCTAGGGCTTCGAGGAAGTAGAGGATGTTGGCGCGGTTATTCATTGAGTTCTGCCAGGCGCACGTGGGTTAGCGGGGTCTAGTTTTGAAGGAAGGGGGGGGAGGGGGTCGCGACCAGGGGGAGGGAGATGTTTGGATGGTGCGTATTACCTTTTCGACTTGCTCGAGGATGCAGGAGTGCAGATCCTCATCCATATCTCTGTATTTCAGCGCATATTGCGCCGCTTTTTGCGAGCTGGTCACGGAGGCATTGAGATGTTGCAGCTGGTTCGTGAAGCGCATGCGCACTTCGAATGGGTCGGCCATGGCGTACTCGAGGGGGGGTAAAATGTGATAATTTCCAGTCTGTGAAGGGGGCCGCGGTCTTGTGGAGTGAAAGTCAGTGGTTGTTGTCGTCTTCAAAAAAGCTCGCAGCCTTCAGCGAGTTCGAGACATATTTTTGGGGTTTACGAGAGCTCGACGACCAGCGCTTCGAGAGTATGTCTTGGGTTATCGTTGATTGTGGCGGGCTTATATCGGCCCGTTGCATGTTCTCTTTGGTGAGCTGAGCTATTGGGCGGTAGGGAATGGCAGAATTGTGGTTGGAAACGGGCGGGCGGTAAGAGCTGCAGAATTGGATAGCAAGGCGGGATAACAGGGCAGAATAGGTAAGTGTTTTGGAAGATGTGGAGCTATTGCGGGGTACTCCACTTCCAAGAGGAACTGGTGAGGCATATAGCACTGTCAATATCAACGTCGATTCAACTTATAAAGCTATTTACAGGTCAATTGGAGGTATAACTCGAATATAAAGGACTTAATACGCTGCCGAACTCACTATATACCCTACGGCCTCAGACAAGTTATTCTATAAGACAGTCATCGTCATGGCCTCATCAATCCTCACAACTGGCCGTCGCAAGGAGGGCGAGCAGGTTCTCGCATTCATCGGCTGTGGTAAGCTCTAAATACCCTATCTACCCTTCTCACTTCTGTTTCTTTTGTGGCACCCTTGATCCGATGCGTGGCTTCTCCTCAAGGCATCCAGCCAGCTGGCGGTGCTGTTCTCATGAACAAATGTTAACTCCCATCCAGGCACCCTCGGAACAGGAATCCTCACCGGCATAATGTCCCACGTCGGCAAAGAAGGCCTCTCCTTCGTCCAAGACGAAGCCGGCAACACCGAACCCCTCCCCTTCCTCCAAGACCAACACGGCAACCACCTCTTCCCCCCCACCAGCTACATCGCAACCTGCCGCTCCGACAGCGCAGTCGAGCGCCTCAACGCCGCCGTCTCCGAAGCCAACACCACCGGCGAGACCTTCAAGGTCATCCAGAACGACAACGTCAAGGCCTGCCAGGAAGCAGACGTCATTATCCTCGGCTGCAAACCCTACATGGTCTCTGGCATCCTCTCCAAGCCCGGGATGGTCAAGGCGCTTGAGGGAAAACTCCTCATTTCCATCTGCGCTGGTGTCGCGGCGGAGGATATCGAGAACACCCTCTACGGTGGCAAGCCCGGCGGTGTCGGCCGCTGCACCGTCGTCCGCACGATGCCCAACACCGCCGCCGGAATCGGACAATCCATGACCGTCCTCGCCACCCCATCCACCCCCATCGACGAGAGCGTTTCTATGCTCATCGAAACGATCTTCAAATGCGTCGGCGAAGTCGTCTGGCTCCCCCCCAACCTCATGGATGCCTCCACCGCCCTCTGCGGCTCCGGGCCAGCATTCTTCCTCCTCCTCCTCGAAGCCGCGATCGATGGCGGCGTCGCGATGGGATTGCCGCGCGCAGAGGCGACGAAGATGGCCGCGCAGACGATGAAGGGTGCGTGTATGGGTGTTTTGGGGGATAAGGAGCAGGGACGGGCACCGGTTCATCCGGCTGTGTTGAAGGATCGGGTTACGACGCCGGGGGGGTGCACTATTGGTGGGCTGATGGTGTTGGAGGATGGGGGGGCGAGGGGGGTGGTTTCGAAGGCTATTAGGGCTGCGACGGTGGTGGCGAGTAAGTTGGGGCAGGGGGTGAAGAATGTGAATGGTGCGAATGTTTAGAGGGGGGAGATACCACTGGTAGTTGTGAGGTTCCAAAGCCTCGTCGGTCCCGTTCAAAAGAGAAATAGACAAACTTGTACATACAAAAGCATGCGCAGACAATAGAAGTCAACATCATAGTTCATAAGTTTTCATTCTGCGTATTCACACGCTCAACAGTAGCAACCCAGCTCCGACGCCTATCTTGAAGTATGCAATGCTATCCCCGAAACCATCCATCCATGCCCTATCCCCCCGTCCATTATCTACTCCTCCTCCGCATCCTCAACCTTAACCTTCTTACTCTGCCTCACCGACAAATCCAGCTCATCCCCCTCCGCCGCCCTCTTCCCCGGCGTCGTAGCCCTCGACTCAATCGCCTCCGGCACCCCCAACAACTCATCCTTCACCTCATCCTCACCACCGTCCAACTTCCCCAACAACCGCGCATAATCTTCCTCCACACTCCCCGCCACCTCCCCCAACTTATCAATCCTTTCCCCGTGCTCAAGCTGGATCAAGCTATCCTTGTTATGCTTATACAGCCTCTGCTTGACCAGCAGACCCCAGAGTCGGTATTCACGCTGTTTCATCTTCGTCGCGAGGGTGTTCGGGGGGAGGTGCTCTAGCTGGCCGGATTTGCGGATGCTAGGAGGGATGGAGGAGAGTAATTGCATTTCGACGAGGCGCTGGAATTGGCGCGGTGCGATCTTGACTTTCTTGCGCAGCTCGTTGAGGGGAGCTTGCTCGAGAATCTCGTCCGAGGGAACTCGTCCCTTACTCCTCACTTCCGCAGCGGTGTTGATCTTCAGAGCTTGGAACTCGGGAAGGCTGCGCAGGTAGATGAGGTCATTCAGATCGCGGAGGTCGTCGAAGGCTTCATTGGGGTCTTCGATGGTGATTTCGACCGTTTGCGGGTCGGATTGGTAGTGTGCGAAGACGGTGGAGTAGAGGCGGGCGCCGTGGCCGCCGCCTTGGAAGGGGGGGAGGATGATGAATTGGCTTAGGCGCGAGCGGATGGGGAGGTCGGAGAGAGATTGGTCTGGGAAGGGGATTGCGGTGTCTGAGTTGGCGGGGAGGGAGATTGCTTTGCGCTGAGTTCCTGGGGCGGCAAGCGGGAGCTTGGGGATTATCGGGTAGTAGTTGTAGACGGTGCAGTAGCCCATGAAGGTGTATGGAGATGCGTCGCCCGTAGCAGGGCCCTTCTTGTACAGCAGGAATACGGTCCAACGGCCTGACCCCCACTCCGCATCGTCGATGGCGGTGCCGCCTTCGATAAAGAGGGCGACGAGTATTTGCAGGCGGCGGAGAAGCTGTTGGATCGCAGGATCCGCGGAGTTTCCATACCAGATTTCGTATGCTGCATCACCCTCCTCGTGGCTCTTGAGCAGCTTTCCTGGCGGAGTGAAGTCCTTGAGGTTTGGGTCGTTTATGGCCGCATCAAACGCAGGAGACTTCTGGAACGCATTTTCTGGCAAGAAGTCTGAGAGGAGTTCTTTTAGATCGGTTGGCTCGACGTCTCCGACGGCCTTGAAGCGTTTGCTGTATGTGATGAGCACCCCGGGGCGCATATCGGAGGCGTTGTATCTCAGGTGAATCTTCAGGTTCTGGTATCCGAAAATCGACTCCTCTTCGCCGAAGATGGGATATGTGAACTTCGGATGGAAGGTGTTGATGGTTTTGGAGGCCCCGTTTTCTGGGCGGACAAGTGAGATGTGTAGGGCGTCATTTGATTGGGTCGACCCTGAAGATGAAGTCAGTTTTGCTCGAAACTATTATCACAAAATATGCGCTACAGATCATATTTTCGGGTTTCCTAGCTTGGACAGGCTGAAGAAACTATGCGACAAGGCACGGTCCATGAAGCTGTAGCAGCGTCGAAGCTCGTAGATAAAAGGAATATAAGCTTACAATCGTCCGGTGAACTTGCCATCCTTGCTCTCTTGTCTAATCGCGCGAGGGATTGAAGTGAAGTTGATGTTATATGGAAATATTAGGTCAGTCTCGATCAAACTAGCAGTCGCACTTTCAGTCGCGTAATTCCGAGTGGTGAGCGCGTCTCAATCTCCAATATACATGGTCCCCCGTACTAGCGCGGCTAGTGGCGTTTGCTCCACTTGGTAACCTTCCCTACGGCGGCATGGCGTCAAAGGAGACTCTGGGGCTAAGGAACATACGTACTTGTGTAGTTTAGTTACTCTAGTACGGAGGAGTGGACTGTACACTTTTTGAACAACCACCACCACCACCACCTCTAATCCACGCATCTCAGACAACTTCTTGATTCTCAAGACATCGCCTGTTTGTTTGCGCTCACTGTCATCATATCTGCCACTTACACCGCACGCCTATATAAGAACACGATGCTTATTTGATTCTCGCCACATATAGAGGGACGTTTTATAGCACCAAACAGGTGTCCAGAAGTTCTCCAAGATGTTAGACGGCCTCTTCATCCTGCTCGTGCTGAGCGTGGTAATGGCAGTAGCGTACGTCCCCTCCCCCCCCCCCAATACAACTTCCACCCCCTCCTAACTCCCTCCGCAACAGCTCCTTCCTAGCAGGCGCACTACCTCTCTCCATGAGCCTCTCCCAATCCCAACTGCGCCTACTATCCGCCATCGGCATGGGCGTCCTCGTCGGCACCTCTCTCGTAGTAATCATCCCCGAGGGCATCGAAGCCGTCTACGCCTCCTCAATTCCGGTCGTCCACACAAACGGCGCAAGGGCACCACCACACCCCCTCCTCACCCCACGAACCTTCGACAACCCAACTTTCTACGAAGCCGCCAGCGCCCTCCCCGGCCCCGTAATCCCAGTCGACACCAGCATCTTCGATCGTCGCGCTGACACCACCACCGTCGCTGACGCAGTGCACCCCCCGCCGGGCCCAATCGTGCCTGGATCCTCAAACCTCGAGGACTTCCCCACCATCCACAACGACGACGCGCCCCTCAGCACCACCACCGCCTCCTCCTCCACCACAGCCCACAACCACGCAACCGAACGCTCTCCACCAACATTCTACATAGGCTTCTCCCTAATCACCGGATTCATCCTCATGTTCCTCATCGACAAGCTCCCGCGGCACGCGACCTCGACCCTCGCCTCCCCCCCCACACGGCACATAAGCCTCAACAACCTCTCCGACACCACCCCCGCCTCCCCCATCTCCTCCGACTCCTTCCTGCACTCCCTCGCGCCCTCCCCCAAGCAAACCCGCAGTCTAGCCACCACAACGGGGCTAGTAATCCACGCCGCCGCTGACGGGATAGCCATGGGCGCCTCGGCCACGTCGTCGAATACGAAGCTGGGGTTTATTATTTTTCTGGCGATAATGCTGCATAAAGCCCCCGCGGCATTCGGACTCACCTCCGTCCTTTTGAAACAAGGCCTCTCCAAACGCGCCGCGCGAGGGCATCTGATAATCTTCTCCCTCGCCGCGCCCATCGGCGCTTTAACAACCTGGCTCCTCGTCAACATCACCGGCGGAGGAGGGGGCATGGAGGGCGAAAACGGACAATGGTGGACTGGGATGCTCCTCCTCTTCTCAGCGGGCACGTTTTTGTATGTTGCTATGCACGCGATGCAGGATGATGCCGCGGGACATGATCACGCCTCGTCTTCCACACTGAATGGGTTTGGTGATGGTGGTGGTGGGGGAGGAGGAGGAGGGGGGAAGAGGGGAGGGGGCCCGGTGTTGAGGGATACGGTGGCGAGTGTGGTGGGGATGTTGATTCCGTTGGTGACGCAGGTTGGGCATCATCATTAGATGTTGTTTAGTAGTGCGCGGTTCTTTATATTGTAGATAGTTGGTAGTAGTCAGTGAGTGGGCTTTTGGGAGTTCTTGGAGCAAAGGGTCTGTCCTAGATTGGACAGGGTGTGGGTTTGAAAAGGTTGCCATGTGCGAGGTGGCAGCGTGTACTGTAGTTGTCTATGGTATTTCTGTTACTAAAGCTGTTGTTTGTCGTGGTAACACGTTTAAATGGTACTTCTTCACACTTCACACATTGTTATCTACAGTTTTCATAACTTTGTGCCATACATGTTATCACGGCCTACACAGGATGGACGTCAAAGTAGGAGACAAAGGAGCATATATTCTACGAGTCCGGTATTATCTTACACTCCCCACTGTCTCTCCTCTCCCTCCCCAAGAAACCCCCATCTGCACCAATCAATCTCAATCTCTCTCTCTCTAATAGATAGTAGTACTAACGACGCAACGTCCTCTAATAGTAGTACGTCTCATCCACCGTCCTCCCCCTCATAAACTCCGGCTCACTCCCCCTAACATAAATATCCTCAAACAGGATCTTCTCCGACGCCTCCGGCGCAGCCATCTTCTCCGCCTCCGCAACCTCCTTATCAACATCACTCCTCGCCTGCTTATCAATCCCCTTCAGCTCCTCCTCGCTGACGACTTCCCAATCCAGCAGCCTCGACTTGAGACCCGCGATCGGATCGTTGGTAGAGCGCATACGCTGGATCTCCTCGCGAGTGCGGTAGGTGGTTCCGGGATCGGACATGGAGTGTCCGCCGTAGCGGTAGGTGAGGTACTCGAGGACGACGGGGCCGTGGCCGGAGACGGCGTGGGATTTGGCGTGGGCGACGGCCGCTTTGACGGCGAGGACGTCCATGCCGTTTACTTTGAGGCCGGGGATGTATTGGCCGCGCTTGTAGTAGTCGGTGAGTGCTGAGGAGCGGTTCATGGAGGTACCCATGCCGTATTTGTTGTCTAGACGCCAATCGTTAGTCTTGGATTCCACTTGGCAAACGACGCACGCGTCGGGGGAAAGGGGAACATACTCTCACAACCAAACAGCACCGGCAAATTCCACAACTTCGCCATGTTAAACGCCTCAAACACCTGTCCCTGGTTCGACGCACCATCTCCATACAGCGCCACAGTAACATTCTTATTCCCATTATACTTATGCGCGAACGCCAACCCCGCTCCAACCGGCACCTGGGCTCCCACAATACCATTACCACCATAGAATCCCTTGGCGAACATATGCATCGATCCTCCCTTTCCGTAGGCGATACCCTCGCGACGGCCCAGCAGCTCGCCGATAATCGACTTAACGGTCGCGCCGCGCATCAGAGCGTAGCCGTGGCAGCGGTAGGCGGTGATGACGTCGTCGGATTTGGTGATGGCGTGCTCGATGCCCGTGGCGACGGCTTCTTGGCCGGTGGAGAGATGGCAGAAGCCGCGGATTTTCTTCTCTTTGTAGAGACGGTCGGCGGCCATTTCCATGCGGCTGGGATGGGAGTTAGGATGGATGGTGCCATTGAGGGATGATGAGGATGGATGGGGAGGGAGGGAGGGGAGCTGTGGGAGCTGTGTGGGAGTGCTTACCGGGTAGCTACCATATCGTAGTACATCTGCTTCAACTCCTTCTTCGTAGTATCAAGCGTGTACGACGGCGGATCAAGCTCATAAGTCTCGAAGCTCTCATCAGAAAGCTGGACCTGGAACGGCTTATCATCCTCCTATATCCCCCATCACGTCAGCAAACCTATCCATCAAATCCCCATCCTCTATCCTTCCTCCCCGTCTCAATTGATAAATCTTACCTCAGGAACACTCTCCTTCTCCGCATGAGCCGACGCCGCATCCGTCGTCACAGCGCGGCGAGCCATGACTGCCTTCCTGGCGAACTGTGCCTTTGGCAAGCCCGCCGCGCGACTCGTCCTCAGCGCCTGTGAGAACATCTTGTGTGGTTGATGTGGTGGTGTTGCTAGGGTGTGCAATTGAACAAAACACTCGCCGGATTGCTGGAGAGAAATGTTGTTGGAGAAGGGCGGCGGGACCCATTCAACATTATTTTAGCGCGGCGGATTGATTGGGGGCGTCACGTGGTTTGGGGGTACTTTGGGAGGTACTTCTACTACTTTTAGTCGTAGATTGGGGAGTTGTTGCCCCGACGGATTAATTAACGATGTATACGGGGACGGATGTCCGTAATTCAATTCAGGAGTTAGTTAGTGAGGTTATTGTAGATATATCCTGTATTGAAGTCCGAATTAATGACTTACAATTTACCTAGTCACTCACTCACTGCAAATCCAGTTACTATCCTCGCCGAACATCCATCAAAAAGGAAAAGGTACACTCTCCTAAACACAAAAAAGGTGTGAGACGATTACGATTACGTTACGAGTGGATTCCACTCTAGATCCGGAATTACGGCAAAGATGTCCCCGAAGAAAGGCCTTTCCTTTTGCTTTCCTTCGCAGCACGCACAGCCTTTTCTTTAATCCCTGGGCACATCTAGGCGCCGCCCTCACACCTTTTTCTATCTCCGTGGACTCACAAATAAGTTTTAAAAACACCCACCCACTCTCGTCCTTCGGTGGATTTTGATTTTGTTGTATTATCTCACCCTCTCTCCTTCCCCCATAATCTAAGTTATTCAAGCCATAAAACAAGCCAAACTTATCAAAATAATAATTCAAATTGGGTATGCCTCCCATCCCATGCCTCCTCCCAAGTTTGCACCGTCCATCCATCCCATACACCAGTCCCGTATCCCTATCAGGTTCCCAGATTTACCCCCCCAACCCAACCAAACGACCCAAACGACTTACTCCAGCCCTGTGCCTACCCTTTGGCATATCGAAAAAAAGAGTTATAAAAAAAGAGAGAAAGACAGAAAACTCCAGTATTTGTTGTATGCATTTTGTGTCTGAGAAAACAAGCGCGCGATGTTGATGTTTGTATGTTACGTTCCGTTTCATTCTGAAGGTCGTTATTGAGTGTGATAATGGGTGTGGTGACTGAGTGTGGGTGTCCAATGATGGTCGTCGTTTCATGGCTCGAAAATCGAACGGTGAGTTGAGAAGAGGTAGGTGAGGGTGTTGGTTTAGGCGGTCTTGTTTGTCTTTACAGACATGCATAGTGGTGTATAGCAATAGCGAGTTGTTGTGAGGATGGTCAGTATAGACGATTATACTCATACAGTTCGTTCCGTTGTCGTCGCAGGAGACCGACCACCTTTGAGACAACGTATCGGCAATGAAGTGAGCTGAGCTGCGAATTCTCGTCCTCAGAGTCCCATCACCAGCTCAACCCATACCATCCCCCCTCCCCCCAGCCACTCAATCATCAAGAAACGTCCTCGGCCTCGGCGGTGCCGTCGAAGGCCCCGCGTCCTCCATATCAATATCATCCCTCGCATACGTCGTCGCATCCCCCCCCTCCAACCCCCCCATATCCTCATCCGCCCCCGTAAACCGATACCCCGTCTCACTCAACGGTCTCGGGGGGAGATTATGCATAAACCCCGTTCTCTCCTGGCCGGCAGCCTCCAGCGGCGGCGAAAACGACCACACCTCCATAATTGTCCTATTCGACCGACTCGCCATGACCACGCACTTTTCCTCCTCGAACGCGACGCGCCACACCGCGTCAGCGGGGGCGGTGAGTTCGCGCACGAGGTGTCCGGTTTTGAGATCCCAGACTTTCACACGTCCGTCGCTGCCACCACTGACCACGCGATTATCATCAAACTGCAGACTAGTGACGCTATTATCATGCGCCGCCAGCCGATGAATAGGCGCCATCTTCTCCAGCGACCATACCCTCACCGACCCGTCCGATCCGCCCGTAACAAGCGTATTCCCACGCATCTGCAGCTGTCCCACAAGCGACGTGTGGCCCTGCAGTATAGCCTGACAGGTCCCATTCTCCGGATCCCAGATGCGCACGCTGGTGTCGAGGCTGCCTGTCGCGATGCGCTTCCCGTCAAAGGCGATGGCGTAGATCTGGCTGAAGTGGCCGTTGAGGGTGCGGAGACAGCGGCCTTCGGAGATGCTCCAGACGCGGGCGGTGGTGTCGTAGCTGCCGGAGACGACGATGTCGCCGTGGATCTCGAGACATCGGACGCTGGCGAGGTGGCCGACGAGGACGTTCTTGCAGAGGCCGGTTTTGATGTCCCAGATTCGAAGGGTTGTGTCTCTGGATCCGGATATGGCGGTGTTGGCATCGGACATCTTCAGACATCGCACAGTCGATGTATGACCCCTCAGGGTATGTCTACTCTCGCTGTGATAGATGTTAGCATTTATAATGAAAGTGTCGCAATCAAACGTACCCAGAAGCCATGTCCCAGACCCGAACATCACGATCACATCCTCCACTAACAAGTGTATCGCCCCACGGAACCATCGCCCACACACCCATAACATGGCCCTGCAGGGTCTTCTGATTATCACCATCAGTATCGAAAACGTGAATCTTAGCATTGTCGAGTGCGACGACAATGTACTTCGGCGTCAGATGTAAGCTGGTAACAACGCCCTGATCCTGCGTAATGTGTCGCGAAACATGCTGTCCGCCAGCCCTCCACGCCGTCTCAACCAAGTACCTCTGCTTGAAGTATGACTTGTGCGATCTGATGGGCGGCCTCTTCGTCATCTTCGAGTGCGCCGTCGCAGTATCGAAACTGCGCGAGTGGGATGTGAAAGGCGGGGCTGAGGCGACGTAGTTGGCGCCGAAGAGTTGCGGCGCGGACGTCACAAGGGGATATGCTTGAGGCCTCACAGGCAACGGTGGAATAGGACTATTCGGCTCGATGGTGTCGTCGCGGACAGAGAGTCGGCGCCTGTAATCGTGTCTCTCACAGAGGTTCTTCCACGTCATGTCGTCAGCCAATAGATCCCTCCACCTGCGTGAGACCTGTGACGCTCGGGCCAAGACCTTCCCATCGTCGATAAATGACAGCACCTAATCCGAAACAATTAGCACCCGAAATCTCACAAAGTGTCGAGACAAGACAAGAAAAAAGGGCCTTACCCTCAAACATAACTCGTCCGGCAGGCTGGTGAAGGGGTCCTTCTTTAGCAGCGGGCTGACATATTGTGATACAAAACTAAGCTGCTGGCTTGTGCACAGGTTCAACAGGTCCCCCAGTATCCTCGTACGCTCTGGCCCTGATCGCTGCTTGAAGTATTGTCGGATCTGCGCGAGGAATATGTCTTCCTGGTCTCCTGCCGCGCTCCAATCCGGCCTCATGTTGTCCGGTCCCGGACTCGCTGCTGGCGTTGGCGGCGGCGGCGGATCATGATTCGAGTGTGTAGGTGAGTCTAGTTCGGCGGGTGTCGTGAGGTTCGGGGTTGGAGGGCCTCGAGGCCTCGTCTGCACGATCTTCTCGACTCGGGCCGGCATTCTGGTGCTCAATGTGTCGAGGGTGAGGACGTTGCGGGTGGGTGAGGGAGCGGTTCCTTCCTCTGAATTGGCCATGGATGCACGGCGATCTGCGAGGCTCGTCGATCTGTACACTCCGTCCATAGGGTCCATTGTGAATTATGTGTCTGTGGTAGTCGTAGAGTGTAGAGTAATGTCAGGTCGAGTTGAGGTAGCAGAGGGGTTCGTAATGCGTTGAAGGGTCATAGGATGCGTCGCGGGTCGTCGTGAGGTCACCGAATCGAGGCCCTTCGGGTCGAGTCGAGAAGCGTGCCGGCTGGACTCGATGGTCCGTTGCGGTCAGGACGAAGGGATCGTCTGGTTTAGATCGAGTCCCTTGTTTGTTCAAAGGACGGGTCGCGGTGGGCTCCCTAGCCAGCACTTGGAGGAGAGACGTAAGAGGGCGGCTGCATGCGAACAATGGGATTGTCGTCACCTCGCCACGACGTAAAGGGGACCGGGAGGCAAAGACGCAAGAGCGGTCAGTATAAAGCACTCGCGACCGACCAAGAGGAGACAGTTGTGATGCTTAATGAATCTTTCGGCCAAGGACTCCAAGACAACCAAGAAGGTTCAAGAGAGGATTGTGAGGAGTGGGTAAGGCGGGTTTGTTGGAGAAAGGTCTTGGGGGGATTGAGGTTCGAAAGGGAGTAAGGGTGGGGGGGGTTGAGTGTGGTAATGATGGATGGTGGTTGTGGTCGAGGCGTGGTGATACCTTACTAGAATCGGGGGTGGAGTAGTAGTAGTAGTTGAGTTTAGTAGGGTGCGCTGGTGCGTTTTGGTGCGTTGGTGGATGAAGGGAGAGGGAGAAGATGACGGTGTGGGCTAGAGTGGGCTGAAATGGGCGAGATTTGGGCAGTTTATGGTGGTGTCTGTTTAGGGGATTGGGCTCCGATTTGGGGGATTCTTAGGGGATTCTTGGGGGTTTCCGGTGGGTGACTCTAGCACCCCTTTTAGCGGTCTCGGTGGCGGTCCAACCACTAACAGCGACGTGGTGGTGATCGGAAGCGGCGAAAGAAAGTCGAGTAATCAATCACTGAGGGTCCTTGCGTCCTAGCCGCATGTACCTCTGCTTATAAACTCACGCGCTAAGATACTTGCCCCGTCGACAATGAACAAAGAGTGATTCAGAAAAAGGGCAAATTGGGGTCCACGTATTAGAATATGTGAGTCCAAACGCGGGAGAAGGGGGAAAAAAAAATGTGACACGGGATGGAATTCCTGTTATTAGATTTAGATTCCTTATTAAGATTTTTTACATTATGATGATTTACTCTCCCATTCAACAATCTATCTCTTGTTCCCTCGGTCGATCTCCGAAACGAGTAAAGAAGGAATTATATTAACAAAAAATGACTAGTCGTCGTGAATGTGAGTATAAGTGCGAGTTACAGTTAAGAAACACTTAAGAAATATCCACCAGCATTGATTCCCTGAAGTACCCAATACCTCCTTCTCGCCCCTCAACACCATACTATCTCACGTACCCTCTACCTCCCTCCCCCCATTCAAGCCCAGCTCCCCGATCGCCATCCATCAAACACATCCCCATCCCCGTCTCCATCCCAGTCCCCCATCCACCCCCCCGCCCCCTGTGGCGGCAACCAGTGAATGACCTGCATCCCCCCCCATCCCTTCGCTGTCTCGCCATCACAACCCCATCCCCATCCACCACCACAATCCACCCTCCCATCCACCACCACCACCACCACCACCACCCTCACCATGCCTTCCCTCCCCATTCCACCCTCCTCTTCCATATCACACACACCGTCCCGCCCCTCCCCTCTCACTCCCCATCCGGCACCCCCCCCCCTCTCCCCTCCCCCCCCATCACGAGCGGCACGGCACATCAGCGCCTCCCCGCCCAATAACCGCCACCGCACAAACCTCAAACCCTCGTCATATGTCTCAGCCCCCTCGTCCCTGGGGATGAACTGCGTTGATGTCTCATGTCTACACCCCTTGTCAGCTGAGGGTATCCATCAATCATCCATCATACATCCCTGACCCTTCCTGCGCACCCGATCCTAGATCGCCTGTCGTCCGACACCGACCCAGGTCCAGGTAGATCTAGCCACTATTCGGCCTTTCCTTTCCACCACAGTAGCCTCCCGAACCCGACGCAAGGACTGTCCCGCGCAAGAAGGACGAACAGACCGATGCAAGGTGATAAGCCAAGCCACCCAAGGCTGCGCACAGGACACCAAACAGAGACACGAGCAAACAAATCACACGTCCCCACAGCAAAGCGCTCTTGCCGTGCGGGCGGGTGTACATGTAAACACCGTGCCAAAGGGTGGTGGCTGAGTGAAGCCCTGCAGGTACCGACCGACGGCATGTCCGTCCGTTTGCGGCGCGTCTTGTGAGTGCCGGCTCGGGACCCGTGGGGAGGGTGGATGGATGTGCCGCGTGAGGGGTTCGGTTCCGGGGTTCCGCGGTTGCCGGATTATCGTGGGTGAGTCTGGTAATGATGAGGGATGTCTTCCGCACATGATTGTTAGAGCTATTGGGTTTGACAAGACGCTAAATCTTATGTGACTGTGATGGAAATAGGGGTGTAAGGCGGGTAGGCGTCATTGTTGGTGTTGTGGTGGTGAATATTAATGCTGAATATTGCTGAGCGTGGGATGTGTTGGGTGAGGGTATCATATGTGAAAGCGCCTAGTCGGTCGCAGAGCGCGGCATTCGTAGCAGAGCCATTAGGCGCGCATGCTCATTGCCGCCTTCTTAGCCAGGTTGGAGTTTGTAAAAAGACACTGGCCCATTGTAGGCTGAGTGGTAGCCAGCCAATGCGTTGACTTGTTGGCCTGGAGGGAGAGCGTGTTTACGACAAAAACCATTCCAACCCCCAAGGCCTTCTTAACTGCAACTGACGGACGAGGTGAGTACGATTACAGTTCAAGAAGTAAAACGACAGAAGGAGCAATGTCGTCCCGCCAACATTCCAGCAGCCATCCAAGAACCGGCCAGCGGAAAAGAAAACCCCCCAATCAATCCACCTCCAGAAAATAACATGATGATAAACCATCTAGTCCTCGCCTCAAGATAGACGTACAGGCACCCCAAATGATTTCACACCCAAACCACACCCGCCTGTCCGGCTCTATCGTATGTCCAACAAAGCTCCAAGAGCAAATGAACCGTAGTTATTCATCGGGTTATTATAAATAGCCTAATCCCAACGTTCGGGCCATTGGAGGGCCCCTCTATATGGGTCATCCCAATGGAGTATCCCTGAGCTGTTCCCCGTAGATCGGCGGGGATGATACCGGAAGGGGGTGACGCTATGATTTCTCAAATGTTTATATGTCGGTGAAGTTTACACCGACGACGACAGTGGGAAGCTGTGAGGCACGGAAGCTTCACGGTGATGGGATCCGCGGGGAGGGGGATTATGATAAAATCCTCGCCAACTTCCCCAATATCTAAGTAAAATGTGGCTCACACAACCCACAAACCCAACAATGCGGTCCCCTACCACCCCCCCCTCTTCCTCCTCCTCCCATCCCTCATCTCCACAACACCTGCCCAGCAGGCCCCAAACCCACCCACCAACAACAGCAGCAGCTACCTCAACCCCATCCTCCCCAGCTAGCACTCCGACCCAAGCTGCGTCTTTGTGTCCCCCCAGTCCACAACCATCTGCATCACCTCCTCTTTCCTCACCTCCTCCTTCCTCACCTTCCCCAGCCTCACCCTCTACTCCAGCCCCAACCTAACGACCTGGACACTATCCAGCAACGTGTTCAATCGCCCCAGCCAGGTTTCCGAGTTCGCGACGCTAGATACGAATGCCGATGAGGGGTTCTGGGCGGCTACAGTACGGTATCATGATGGTTTACTCTACGTGGTCGTCACGTATATCGACTACGACCCGAAACTAAAAGCCACCTACTATCTCTTCACTACTCTAGATCCCTACGACGACACAGCATGGAGCGCCAGTCTGCAGATCTCCAACCCCCCAAAAACAATCGACCCCGACCTCTTCTGGGACGACGACGACGGGACCCTCTACATAGCCTCCGAATGGGGCGCCATGTACCCCTCCACCCTCACCCTCACCACCAGCACCTCCTCCAGTCCCGCCGCGCGAATCTGGAACGGCACCAGCAACTCCAACCCAGAAGATCCACACATCTACAAGAAAGCCAGCTACCACCACCTCCTCATCGCCGAAGGCAGCTCAGGTTTAAATCACTCCGCTACCATCGCGCGCTCTCCCTCCTCCATTTGGGGGCCGTATGAGAGTTATCCCGGGAATCCGATTTTGACGAATAGAGGGACGGGGGGAGTACTTTCAGACCGTTGGACATGCGGATTTCTTTCAGGATGGGGGTGGGGGGATTGGTGGGGTGCGGCGTTGGCGACGAGGTCGGGTTCGGGGTTTGAGGTGAGTCTGATGGGGAGGGAGACGGTGATGTTCCCCGTGTCGTGGCTGGAGGGGGGGTGGCCTGTTGCGGATCCGGTAAGGGGGGAGATGAGCTGGTGGAATTTACCCCTTTCTGCTTCTCCCCCCCGGCATGACGAGATACTAGTCGATGGAGCAGACATCGTCAATTCCACCCCGGCGAGACAATACCTCGAAACTAGGTCCACCACCGCATCCCCCTCCCATCATCCTACACCATCTCCCCCCCCCGGCCAGCCAAAGACCCTCCAACGCGTCCCCTCATCCGCGAATCTAACTGCCAACTCCGCAGTCAGAGCATCAGATGGCCTAACCTTCATCGCGCGACGGCAGACAGCTACGCTATTCAAATTCAGCGTTGACTTCGACTTTTCGCCGAGGAGGGAGGGGGAGGAGGCAGGGGATCACGGTGTTTATTACCCAGGAACAGCATGTTGATCTTGCTATCGTTTCTAGGCAGCCCGTTGGCGCGGATGGGGTGGTGACGATGGCAGGGAGATAATTGAGGTTTAGAGCTACGACGTTTGGGAAGCTGGGTGTTGCGGTGCCGGAGGAGGGGGTGGTTGATATACCGCGTTCGTGGGGGGGAGGGGGGGGCGGTGAGGCTGGTGGTTGAGGCGAGGGATGATGAGGGGTATATATTCTCTGCTGCCTCGACGCGAGGAAAGAGGGAGGTGAGGGTGATGGGGAGGGCCGGGGCGGAGATTGTTACTAGTGGGACTTGCAGATTCGTTGGTATGTTTATCTGGTGTCTTGTTGCGTGTTGTGAGAATGGTAAGAGAGAGAGAGAGAGAGAGAGAGAGAACGGAAACGCTGATGATTCAATCTAGGAACTCTGATCAGTGCATATGTCACCATCATGAATTAACCCTCCCCCTTCCCCGCGCCTCCAATGCGGTTACGCTGGACGTCGTTCCTTGCGTCCTGCATCCCCCAACGCAGCGCACTGCATTGTCTCACTCAACTACAGGCAAACGCGGACGTACGCACGTATCTGCGATTATGGCACCTGCAAGGCTAGTCATGCCCTCCTGCATACGTTCCACTTGTTAGGGATTGCCTCATTCTGGGGTCGCTAATACCTCGTGCCACTGTGGATTCCGAGGTCGAAGTGTCGACCGAGTGAGACATGCATATTCAGGTGCGGAGTCTCGGCCACGGGGAGAGTGGAGAAAAGAAGAACAAATATTAGCTAGGGGAGAAACAAGTTTTGGGGGAGAGGCAATATTGTGGCGGCACGATGCATGCATGTTCACGCCACATTGGGGAGTTTTGTGATTTTTATCGATTTTATCATCGATATTTATTTTTGGTTCCGGATGAGGATGGTTACTCAAACACCGCCCCCGACGCCACAAACAACAGCTCAACACAACTAAACAACCCTCTGCGTCTCCGTCGCCACCTTCCTAAACCTCCCCCTCAAGAGATCCTTACACGTCGCGCGACTATTCTTAATATTCTCCTTCACAATAACCATCGTCGGCCTCTCGAAAATAAGATCAATCTCCTCGAGCGTCTTATTCTTCGTCTCCGGCATGAACAACAACTGGTAAAACCACCCCACCACCGCGATACCCCCGTAGAACCCCAGACACAGCCCGATGCCCGTGAAGGCCTGGAACATGCCAGTGAAGTTGTAGGTCACGATGAAGCTGGACAGGAACATCCACGCGCTGGACACGGTCATGCCGTAGGAGCGTAGGTAGGTGGGGTAGACTTCCGAGGGAACGACCCAGGTTAGAGTGGCGTAGCAGCCGAAGAAGGCCATGTAGATGACCAGACCCGTCAGATACAGGCCTTGCACCAGAACCGTATCAACGGCAGGGTCGAAGTTATAGCTAACACCCACGAGAATGAGCCCCGTGAAGAAACCAGGCAACATAGCAAGCGCCCAAAACCTGCGTCCACAAAGCTCCATATAAAACACCGCCGGAATAGTCCCCAGCAGCAGCGCCCCCCCTCCAACCAGAGACATATAATTCGCCTGCGTATCATCGAATCCAATCGACCCCATGAGGACGGACATGAAATACATAACCGCGTTGATCCCCGTGAACTGCCCCAGGAAGATCATCATGTTCGCGTAGACGAGAGCGCGACGCGCGCGTGGGTTGGTGAAGAGGTCCATCCAGGGGAAGCGCTTGGTGCGGCCTTCTTGCACTTGGAGGACTTCGAATTCGAGGGAGGACTTCATCTCGTAGAATTCCTCGCGGGATTCGCGCGTTGCGGTGCCGCGGATGCGTTTCCACACCCGGAAGGCGTTGAGGTAGTCGCCTTTGTGCATGAGCCAGCGGGGGGATTCGGGGACGTAGAGCGTGCTGTTGGGTTTTTTTGTTAGACTAGGTTCTTCTGGCGTGGGAAGATGGGGGATGACTTACCCAATTCCCATGATTGTAGAGAAGACGACGGAGGATCCGAGAATGTAGCGCCAGTTCCCTGGGAGTCCCAAGAAGATCGCACCAACAGCGTATCCGAGGACTTCACCAAGTGCAATCATAAGTTGGTACAGGGAGACGAGGTTACCACGCAACCTCCTCTCAACAGTCTCAGCAACATAAACAGGTACAGTTCCGCCCTCAAGTCCAACACCAGACCCGAGAATCAAACGCGCCACAACCAGCATGGGGAAGTCGATCGCGCCGGCGCACAGCGCAGCACCAACCGTATACAGCACACAAGCGATGAGAATCGATATCCTACGCCCGAGGTACTCGTTACAAGGCGAAATCAAGAACGCTCCGATGACAGCTCCAAGCGGCATACCGGCGTTGACCAAACTCGACTGCTTGGAATCGAGCCCGAGGTCCTTGGGGAGATACAGGTTTGCGCCCGAGATGAGGGATTGATCGAGGCCGGAGAGGAGACCGCCCATGGAGGCGAAGACGACGAGGAAGTAGGTGAAGTGCTTGGGGTCCTTGAAGTTGATTGCGAACATGTCCTTTTGCGGACCTGCGGCTTCGATCTCCGTCTCCATCTGCGCGATGAGGGTGTCGACATCTTCGTGCAGGTTGACGTGGTCGTCGTGCTCAAAATCTTGTCCCGGCTTGGTGAACTCGGGAGCCATCCAGTGGGGATCCTTCTCTGGGATTGACGCCATGATGAAGCTGTTTCTTTGAGACCGGCGGTGAAAATTGCTTGCTCTTGTGACAAATGCTGGGGAGGTGAGACCTCATATACAAAATCCACCTGATGAAAATTCGGGCCTTCTCCATTCCCCACGCAGGAGAACGAGGGGATATGTGGAGACATTTTCGCGGGGCATTGGTATTCTCCTCATAACCCTCAAAAAGGAGCCCCGCGGGGGTGTTGGCGCTCTCCTCATATCCCTCAAGGAGGAGCCCCGCGGGGTGTTCGTTGTGCTCGTTGAGCAAATCGACATCATCGTTGTGGATACTCATTGTTTCTCAGTGGTTTTCCGATCCAAAGGTCTAATCGCCGTGTGGCTCCATACTGTTTTTCATGAGCTGCAGGTGGATCACGACTTTGACTGAGCAAATAGAGACAAAATAGAGGCTATCCACCATGCGCATCATTAGTGGGAATAATTGTTGTAGGTACAAATATGATAATCCACCTTGTCCCAATCTCCAATCACTACGCATCTCCATCTCCAAATCGCCCGGCCGAAGAATAGTACCGATGCCGCTACGTAGATCCTATACGAAAATAGCTTCCGTACCAAGAGCCGCCGGTCCGATCTTGGTGGCTCTTGGTGCCTGTTGGTGCGAGTTTGGTGGTAGTTAGGGTGAGACTAAGCCTTCCAACTACCGGTACTGCGGCGCTACCGGATCTCAGGAGTACTCCATTGGGAGTAGCGCCGCGGTCCAGGAATGGCCGCGGCTGAACTCCGGGCTAGAGATTGAGGATTTCTCACCTTGCCCCTTTTGTCGCCGCGCAAGGGAAATTTGGAGAAACGAGAGCGTTGTTGGTGACCAGTTTTCATGATTTTATGGGCCATGCGGGGTCAAGAGGTGGGGAAGAGCTGTTTTGAACGTGCGTGTTATGGGAGTTTCCGTTGATCTTTCAGCAACGGGCAGGGCCCCTTCACTGTCAAAACATGAAGTATGCATGTGCAATACCTGATTTCGTGGTGAGAGTTAGGATTCTCGGGATAGCCAAAATGGGAAGCCGTAATTCACGGCTGAGAGCCGGTCTAGATGTTGAATGGATAACTTGCGGGGAAACATCTGGGGAAGTCAATGCCAAATCGCAACACCTCTTCCAAACATGATGACGAAAGAGGCACAGGGAAGAAGCATTCTGGGAGTTAATGCGACATCTCAACGCCTCTTTCCCAACATGGTGGCGAAAGATGCACAATATTAATATGTGAATAACTGCAAAATCACAGCGCCTCTTCCCAACATGATAACGAAATATGCATGACACAGATCTGTGAATAACTGCGAAATTCAATGCTATCCTATCTAATGACTTTGCAGCTGCACTATGTACTCCAACAAATAAATCGCTCTCCAATATCCCCTCAAACGCCATGCAATGCAACGCGCCCATTTTTATATACGCCAACAATCAAAATATTCACTCTACCACGTCATCAACCAGATGAATCCGCGACCTCAGCAAACCACTGCCTCAACAACGTTGCTAACACACCAGGCAACTCCTTGACATCTCCCACCACAAGGTAGTACTGGAATGGGAACGTATCCAAGTACCTCTCAATCTTGACGTTCGAGGTACCCGTATACTCATCCTTGACAAACTTGGCCTCCTTCAGATCCATAACACTCTCTCCCTTCTTCTTATTCCTCACATCATCCACAATAATGAACACAATCATAATCCTCTCCTCAATCGCCTCACGCAGCAATCTTCGAATCGGCTCATGCTCGCTAGAATCACAAACCCCATCCGAAATAATCAGCTCCAACTGCCACAAATCCGCCGGCGCATTCGACGCCTTCGCCCTCGCCGCACGGAACAACTCAATCGACTCCCTCACCAACCTCGTCACATCCGTGCGCGCCTGCTCGAACCCAAAGTTCTGAAACACGCGCGGTCCCGCGTCAGCAGAGAACGGTGTATCGAAATCGTGCGCCACCTTGACGCTGTCGCCGAAGCCGAGCACGCAGATCTCGCCGACCTCGAGCATGCTGAGGGACTTCGAGACCATGGCGAGCGTCTCGAAGGCTAGCGCGCCGGAGCCGGATTCGCCCATCGACTTGGAGTCGTCGACGGCGAGCATGATTTGGTAGGAGCGCTTGGAGGGGACAGAGCGGCGCATCCAGATCTTGTCGCGCTTGAAGGAGGAGGCGATGTAGGGGATGATACGTTTGATGTTTAGGCGTTTGCCGGTGCGGAAGTCGCCGCGCATCTTGGTAGCTAGTGTGGGGGCGAGGATGAGACGGAGTTGCTCGGTGAGAGAGAGAGATAGGTCGCGGGTAGAGGCCTCGTAGTCGGTCCATAGTTGGCGCGCAGAAGCGGAGTCGCGGGAGAGTTCAACGGCTCCGGAATCATCGATGTGGGTTGCATCTAGCTCTCTGTCCACCTCCTCGACATCATCATCGATATCGGTCGGCTGTTGGGGAACATATTTCTCTGGCTCGCGATCTTCCTTGGCTTGGTGAATTGCGGCTCCGGCACGGCCTTCGTAGGCGTCTGTTGACTCTGGCTGTGCTTCAGCGTCCTCGATATCCATAGCATCATCGTGGTCGACATCGTCCTGCTCAACTTCATCGGGCTGGAAAGCCTCTGGCATCTCTTTGGTTTCCATGTCTATGGCCATTGACTCATCAACCGCATGGGCTTGATCCTCCGTAGCAGTTCCAAGAGCTTGCGTAGAATCCTCCTCCGCTTCCTCGTCTTGAAGATGCTGGAACTCGGACGTTTCGTTCTCAGTATCCATTGGTTGGTCCTGTCCCTTCTCTTGTGACTGGGGAGCGTCGCGAATCTTTGTTTGCTGGCGATGCCAGTTCTCCAGGGCATCACCAAGCTTCTTGAATGGCTGGGCATCGGCGGCGTCCTGTGTCTCGTCGTTCGACGTAGGTGCCTCGCCTTGTGCCTGTCTGCCATTTTCGCCTTCCTCTGCAGCTGCATCTTTCTGTTCAGAGGCGTCGCCACCTCCGCCGCCATCCTCCCTCTGGGCTTTGCTGGATGACTCCTTATTGTCGTCGGCGTTGTTGTTATCTTCTTGATCTTCCCCAACACCCTGCGCTTCGCTTGGAATTACGTTCTCGTCATCTGCCTTAGCGTCCTCGTCGTGATCACGTAGAAGGTTCTCTTGCGTCTCAGGCTCCTCCTCCGCATCTTCACCTTCGGCCTTCTCACCCGCCTCATTGGTGTCTTCTCCTTCGCCCTCCTCATCCTTCTCATCGAGGTCGATCACGTCCAGATCATCTCCCATATCCTGATCCTCTTGGCCCTCCGCGTCTTCGCCATCCATGTTTTTATCGTCACTCTCGTCAACCTCATCACCTTCCTGATCCTCACCTTCAACATCTGAGAGATCTTCCATGCCATCATCCTCGTTATTCATTTCCTTCCCTTCTTCATCTTCTCCATCCAAATCCATGTCATCCGGCAAATCAAGTGCATCGCCATCATCAGCATGCGGATCATGTTTCTCAACATCATCTTGCTGCGTCACCTCCTCGCCCTGCTCAGCTCCAACCTCTTCTTCCTCTTCCTCTCCCTCTCCCTCCTTCTGTTCAGGGGCCGGCTTGTCATTCTCCGTAGCGGCAACTTGTTCGTCCTTATTCTGCTCGCCCTTCGAATCATCTCCCTCCTGATCTTTGTCAGCTTTCTCTCCATCTCCATCCCACATCTTCTCATCCACAGCATTTGGATCTAAATCATCAACATCCCCGGTTTCTTCTTCAATATCGTCCTTGTCATCCTCATCACCAGATCCTTCTTCATCTTCACCCTTCTCCTCAGCTTCACCCATTTCACCTTCCATATCCGCATCTGCCATATCCACTGCATCCTTCTCGTCCTCGATGTCATCCTCCCTGTCTCCCTTGTTGGGCTCCTCGGCCAACTCCGTAAGATCTTCGTCCTCTTGAATATCCTTGCTAATATCATCTGCACCCTCGCCTTCACCAAGTCCTGTTCCACCTTCCAGTTTGTCGGTCTTGCCTTCCTGAGAATCTGATTTCTCCGCAGGAGTGCAGAACCCTTGAGTTGCAATCTGGATGAAGGTCTTTGCTAGAATATAAGTCATTTTGCAGGTCGCTCGGTTGAGCTGGGCATATCTCGCAATGGATTGCTGGAGAATATTGAAATATTGCTCCACAATAGGCAGAGTGACGGCGAACATGGCTCCAGCAACGCGGCTGACCTGGGGGTCGCTGAGATCCAATGACTTCAACAGCGTGAAAGCTTCGTTGATCTGTTGGTTGATCTCGGTGCTGTGCAGGAACGTAAAATTGTTACGAAGGCTGATGTCGTTGTTCGTAAGCCATAGAGGATCTTCTGTTGAAGTTGGCATTGTGGTGATAGACTTTGATAGTTTCTCAACTGCAACAAGAATCGAATCGCAGATCTTCGATATGTTCTTATCAAGGGCCGGGATATCAGCGCCGTTGCCGATCTCCTCAACAATCACGGATTCTGTTGCTGTCCATGGTAGAATCTGGTGGAGGATATAGTCCAGATGAGGATGCGTTGTCTTTAAGAACTCGATATTGACCCGCAGACCCTTAATCGCGTCGTGAACCTCGGTTTCCAGCTCAATATGGCTGGAAGATTGAAGGCCACTGGGCAGTACCGGGAGGCGGTTGTAGGTTTGGCGGAAGATGTCAAACTTTTCAATCCATAGGACTAAGACCTCGTCGACATCAGAGTTGGTCTCGCTGCCGAGTCTGTTGTGTGTCTTAAGCAAGCCCAAGGCGACTCGTAGAATACTTGGCAGCCATTTCAGAGAAGGCTCATACGCAGTAGAGGATAGGACACTTGCGATGTCGTATTGGCCTCCAGACCAAAGACCGGTAGCTTGCTTAATAGATTCGCCAATGGCCACGGAGTCGGAAACAGCCTGCGCGAGTGCGTTTCTCTGTTGGATCACGACTTGAAGTAGACCTTCGAGCAGCCCAGAGCTGCGAGCGACTTCCGCGAGACTCAAGTCTTCATTGTGCCCTCTTGTCGCGAGTCTAGCACGAGGAACCAAGTCCAATGTTTGGCTGTAGTAATAATTGATTCCAGAGAAGTCGAAGGCATCCGATTGAGGCAAGTTGTCAGCGTTAGCCAAGACGACCGAAAGGGAATCTTGCTGTGCAAGGGCGGCAGTGCCCAGGTTGTGTCTGATACCCATTTCGCGCAACTCTTTGAGGGTCTCAGCAAATAGCTTGCGCTTTCTTGTCTTCAAATGCTTGACGGTCACTTTGTTCTCTTCTGTGAGAACGGAGGGTGTGGCCTTTTGAAGCTGCGCTGCTGTAGTGACGATATTATCAAGGAAAGAGTCGATGTATTCCGAGACATTAAGAGTGTCTTCGGGTATTTGAGAAGCATCATCCATCATTCCCACGGTCTTGGAGATATTGATATATCGCGGGCTCTTCTTGGCCCAGTGTGGAACTTGGGCCTCGCAAAGGGCCAACGCAGATTTGTCGACAGTTACAAGAGCCTTGTGGTT